CATCTTTCCGAGTTATCTTTATTTATTCAGTTTCATTCATTCGATTCATTTTAATTATTCTTTGTGGCTTTTTGGTTCTTTTTCATCTTTTATTTCCTTCAAATTGGCCTTTTTGGCGCTTTTTCATCGTTTTTACTTTTCAATTTTCTCATACACTCTTTTTTGATTTTAAAATTTTTTAAATTCCAAAAACTTTCTGATTTTTCCTTTTGCTGAAATGTCTTTAATTCATTTAAAGTGTTGCTTTTAACTTTTTTGTTTTTCATTTTTTATTTTTCAACTTGACATTCTTGGCTTTTCTTTTGAATGATTAAAATCCAAAAAGGCCGTTTCTCTTTTCTTCTATTTTTTTAAATTTAAATTCTTTTTGTCTTTTCATTTATTCTGACTCTCTTAATAATTCTTTTAAATAATTAATTTCAACTCTCTTAAACCTTTTAAACACTTAATTTAATTATTTATTCAAAGTCTTTTAAATACCTGATTTAATTCATTGAACATTTTAAACATTTAATTAAATGAGTTAAAACATTTAATTAAATGAATTAAAACATTTAATTAAATGAATTAAAACAGTTAAAACACCAAATTGGAGTATTCAACTTGCCTTTGACTTTTTGGATTTTTGCGAATTTAGAAGATAAAAGCCTGAAACAAAAGCCAACAAACTGAAAGCAACAAGAGGAGTTTGAAAAAAGCAAAATAAAAAAAGCAAAAGAAACATTTAAAAAGTTAAATGGATTCAATTTGCTGCTGCTGCAGGGCTGCGGGCGCTTCCTGCTGCACTCCGCGTGGACGCGGGCCCGCTGCGCCCGGCTGCTGCAGCGGCTGCTGCGGCTTGCTGCAGCAGTTAATTTGTCTCCGGAAGATGAGTGTCTCCTTTTGGACACTTTTTACTTTTTGAATAATTTAAATTCCAAATTGAACTCCAAGTCCAACTCCAAATCGAATTCCAGAAAAAAAAACAAGTCCCACGCGCTCCAGCAATTCGTCCAACACCTGCTCTTCCACGAACTCTACCAGGGGTACTTTTTATTTTTATCTTGATTTTTTAATTTCCTTTTTTGTTTTTTTGGCTCCTTTTCCTTTTCTTTTTCTCTTGGTTTGTCTCCTTTTTGTTTTGCTTTTTTGTTTAGTTTTGTCTCCTTTTTTGTTTAATTTTGTTTCCATTTTTTGTCTCTTTTTCCGCTTTTTTGCCTTTTTTTGTTTAATTTTCTCCCCTTTTTAGCTAACTTTCGTCTCTTTTTTGGTCTAATTTTGTCTCCTTTTTTGTCAACTTTTGTTTGTTTTCTTTCGTCTCCTTTTTGTTTAATTTTGTCTCCTTTTGTGTTTAATTTTGTCTCCTTTTTTGTTTTCTTGTATCTCCTTTTTAGTTTTCTTTTGTCTCTTTTTTATTTTTTGATTCTTTTTCGTACTGTCTCCAAATTTGTTCCTTTTTATCTTTTTGGGTGTGCACGAATTTTTGCGTTGTGGCTTCATTTTGGGTGTTCTGGCTTTGCTTTTTGGACAAAACTGCATCTGCGGAGAAGCCGGATTTGAATTTGAAGGAATTAAAAGAATTAAATGCATAACTTCCCGAAAAAATCCCGAAAAATCCGCAGAAAAACTCCCGAAATTCGCCACTTTTTCTCTTTTCAGAGACGACACTCAAGAGACCGTCGCGCGCCTCGCCCGCAAACTCCCCTGGGGCACAGACCCCCAAGTGCTGCGCTACTTCAGAGACAGCTGGCTGGGTAATTTGCAGTTTGTACATTCAATTTTGATTACTTATTTTCATTTTTAAGAACAATTTGTAATTCATTTGACGATATAATTAGCTTTTTTTGGTCAGCATGTTCTGCGGAATCGATTGGTTATTCACTTGTCTGGTTATTTGTTTTTTTAATTTTAATTGGCTTGGTAAATTGGTATGGTCGGCTTCGGGGACAGCTGGCTGGGTAATTTGCAGTTTGTACATTCAATTTTGATTACTTATTTTCATTTTTAAGAACAATTTGTAGTTCATTCGGTGATTTAATTAGCTTTTTTGATCAGGATATTTTGCTGAATCGATTGGTTATTCATTTGTTTGGTTATTTGTCTTTTTTTAAATTTAATTGGCTTGGTAAATTGGTTAGCTTGGCCTTAGGGACAGCTGGGAGGGTAAATTATAATTTGTAATTGCAGTTTTTAATTACTTATTTTCATTTTTAAGAACAATTTGTAATTCATTCGGTGGTTTAATTAGTTCTATTTGATCACGGAATTGTGGCGGATCGATTGGTTAGTTGTTTGTTTTGTTTTTTGTTTTTTTGGATTTGGAATTGATTTGGGAAATCTCTCAATTTGTTTGGATTGGCTAGTTGTAATTAACCAGTTAGTTACTCCATTATTAATTGTAATTTATAATTAAATAATGAAGGCATTCTTTATTTTTAATTGCACTTCCTAATAAACAATTAAATAATCTAATGGGTATTAGTAACTAAGATTAAAACCGATTCAATCTCATTTACAATTTCCAATAAATATTTCAAAAAGAATGTTAAATGAAAACAATCAAAACAAGATGTTAAATGAAAACAGTTAAGACGATTAAATGTGATAAAACAAAAAGGTAAAAATAAAAATAAATACAAATTAGAAAAAAATAAATGAAACAGAAAATTAAAGTGAATAAATTTCCGACTAACAAGCAATTAAAATACCAATAAACTACTCACAAACGAAAGGCAATTCAAAAGCAATTAAAAAGGATTTTTAAATAGTTTTAATCAAAAACAATTAAAACTAATTTAAAATCCAGAAACCAAAATATTCAACAAACGCAATTTTCTGCCGAAACTGCGCATACAGCCCAAATCACGAAATGAAAAAATGCCAAAATAAAAATTTCAAAACAATTCTTCTTCTTTACTTATTTATTTATTTTATTTTAATTGATTGATTTATTTAATATTTATTATTTATTTTTTGTTTTATTTTTATTTATTTATTTATTTATTTGTTTGTTTTTGTTTTTCAGAACTCGGGACCAACACCAAGTTTCAGTTTCTTCACCGCCACGCAGCGCTTTTGGCGGACTTGGCCAAATATATTCCATTTCAAGTTATTAGCTGCATAGATGCTCTTTTAGAAGACATACAGGTGCTGCTGCTGCTGCTGCTGCTGGTCCTTTACTAATTATTATTATTTCATTTTATTTATTTTTATTTTATTTTATTTATTTTTGCTGCAGTTTGGAATGGAGACAGAAGACCCCAGCGAGGCCCCCAGGCGCCTCCGGCAGGCCAGACTCTTGGGGGAGCTTTACAACTACAGGTTAGCTAGCTAGCTAATCAGCTAGCTATCTAATTAGCTAGCTATCTAATTAGCTAGCTAGCTAGCTAGACAGCTAGCTGGCTAGCTAGCTAGTTAATCAGCTAGCTATCGAATTAGCCAGCTAGCCAGCTAGCTAGCCAGCTAGCTAGCCAGCTAGCTACCTAGCTAGCTAGCTAGGTACGCGTTGGCTAGCTGGCTAGCTCCACGTTAGTTAGCCAGCTAGCTGCACATTAGTTGGCCAGCTAGCTACGGGTCAGCTAGCTAGCTAGCTAGCTAGCTAGCGAGCTAGCTCGCTACAGGTCAGCTAGCTAGCTAGCTAGGTAGCTAGCTAGTTAGCTAGCTAGCCAGCTGGCTAGCTAGCTAGCTAGCCAGCCATAGCTCTCCATGATCTCCTTTGATTGCTGATTAATATCCTTCTTATTTCTCTTTATTTCATTTATTTCATTTTATTTCTTTTATTTGTTTATTTCTTTTTACTTTTTTGTTTCGTTTGTCTTTTTAATTCTAGGCTAATAGACTCCTCCGTGTTGTTTGATGTCTTATACTCCCTTTTGGGGTTTGGCGGGGCTTCTTCATTTCAAGCCGGAAACATCCGCACTGCCCACAAGCTGCTGCTGCCTAGCCCGCAGCAGCAGCAGCAGCAGCGGCAGCAGCCGCAGCAGCAGCAGCAGCAGCAGCAGCAGCAGCAGCAGCTGCTGCTGCTGAACGTGTGCTCCTCGCCCCCCGAAGGGCCCTTGGACTTGACGCGTTTGAAATGCATTTTGGAGATTTTGCGCAGCAGCGGGAAATATTTCAAATCGGGAAAGTCGAAGCAAAAGTTGGATCGCTTTTTGGTTTTCTTCCAGCGCTACTTCCGCAAAAAGGTCCGCAGCAGCAGCAGCAGCAGCAGCAGCAGCGGCGGCCGCGGCGGCGGCGGCAGCGGCAGCAGAAAGAAGCAGCAGCAGGAAGCAGCAGCAGCAGCAGCAGCAGGAAGCAGCAGCAGGAAGCAGCAGCAGCAGCAGTCTTCTCCCGCTGTGTCTCCCTTTATTGCTTTCGAACTCCTCTAGTCCAGGGTTTAGGGTTTAGGGTTTAGGGTTTAGGGTTTAGGGTTTGCTGCTGCAGGCGGAGACAGCGCTGGTGGACGAACAAGAAGTCTACGAAACCCTGCGGGAGCTGCGGCCCCACTTGAAGCTGCTGCCAACAGCAGCAGCAGCAGATGCAGCAGCAGCAGCGCTGCTGCGGGAAGAAGCAGCAATTCTCCAAAGCATTGGCGAGGGGCCCGAAGAAGAGCTGCTAGATGTAACACCTGCTGCTGCTGCTGCTGCTGCTAGTGTTGCTGCTGCTGCTAGTGCTGCTGCTGCTGCTGCTGCTGCTGCTGTTGTCCCAGTTACTGCCTGTGCTGCCGTTGCTGCTGCTACTGCCTCTGCTACTGCTGCTGCTGCTGCTGCGAGTTTATTTCGTTTTATTTATTTTATTTATTTTATTTGATTTATTCAATTTATTTTATTTTTTGATGAAGGAAAAAGCCATTTACGGAGAAGAAGAAGGCAGTCAAGATGAAGCAGCAGAAGAGACAGAAAAGGAGACAGAAGAGGAGACAGCCCACACTCTGAGGGCCCACGCCGACAGAGACAAAGAGGCAACAGTAAGCTGCTGTTGCTGCTGCTGCTGCTGCTGCTGCTGGGGCCCGGTGGTGCTGCTGCGCTGCTGCTGCTGCTGGGGCTTGGTGGTGCTGCTGCGTTGCTGCTGCTGCTGCCGGTGTCGGTGGTCCTGCTGCGGCTGCTGCTGCGGCTGCTGCAGCAGCAGCCAGCGCGGGTCTGGTCTCCCCGCTGCTGCTGCTGCTGCTGCTGCAGCTGCGGGTCCAACTGCAGCTGAATGCTGCATGCGTTTAGGACGAGGAATTTGAGGCTCTTTTCTCTGAGGCGATGGAAGAAGCAGCAGCAGAAGCGCGAGCAGCAAGGCAGCAGCAGCAGCAGCAGCAGCTGCGGCTGCCCTGGGCCATCTTGAAGGACCTGCCGGCGGCTCCTGCAGCAACAGCAACACCAGCAGCAGCAGCAGCAGCAGCAGCAGAAGGAGAGGCTAAAGGCAGCCCGGGGTCAGAAGCAGAGGAAGCCCCTAAATCCTGTAAGTTCCTGACTTTTTTGTTTTTGTTTCTTTCAGCATTATTCTGCCATTATGCCATTATTATTGTTTATCATGCTGTTGCTGCTGCTGCTGCTGCTGCTGCTGCTTCAGCGGTCACACTGCGTCTGCTGCAGCGGCGGGCTGAGAAGAGGGGCAAAGTGCAGCTGCGGCCGCTGACTGTGCCTGTGGACAGTCCTTTGCTGCTGCTGGCGCAGCAGCAGCGGCAGCAGCAGCAGCAGCAGCAGCAACAGCAACAGCAGCAGCAAGCGAGAATCGAAAAGTATGTACTCGAAAGCGTCATGGGAGAAGGAGCAGCAGGAAAAACGCATGCAGCAAAACCTGCAAACCCTAAAACTATACCTGGCCTAGCAGCTCCAGACACCAAGAAGGGCCCCCAGGGGGCCCCCAAGGGGGGCCCCCAGGGGGGCCCTCAAGGGGGCCCCCAGGGGGGCCCCCAGGGTAAGAAGAAGGGAGAGGGGGGTAAGCGCTCAAACAAAAACTAAGGCTGTGTGCTCAGGGGAGTGCTGCTGCTACAGCTGCCGCTGCTGCAGCTGCTGCTGCTGGAGCTGCTGCTGCTGCATCTGCTGCAGCTGCTGCAGCTGCAGCTGCACACTAGAGAGACAATACACGGGCTGCTGCTGCGCCACAGCAGCAGCCGCAGCTGGTGGATCTGACCAGCTGCTTTTAAGTGCTTCCTATTTACTAGCCGTGCATCCGCTCTGCTGCTGCTGCTGCTGCTGCTGTAAGGAGACACAAAAAGAAGCATCTAAAGGAGACAAATAAAAAAGAAAGATCGGAAAGAGCTATAAAGTAAAAGCTATGAAGAGACGGACTGAGAAGCAGCAGCAAAGAAACAGCAGCACCAAGTCCTAGCTAATTTTATATTCTGCGCTGCGCATTGCGCTCTATAAGTGGCGAAAAAGAGGCATTACAATAAATAATAAAATTAAAATAAAAAAGTATTTAAAAGAGTAACAATATTATTTCAAGGAGAAGAAGGCGCGAAGGCACTTGCTGCTGCTTCGAAAAGCCTGGTGAACTGGCGAGACAAGGAATTGCTCAGAAGAGCAGCAGCTGCTGCTGCTGCTGCGGTGACACGCAGGTCTTTAGAAAGGAAATTAAAATATATATTTATTTATTCTTTAAAATGAACGCTGCAGCAGTAAAATTGGCGAAAAACTGCAAAAGAGCCGACGTGGGAGCCGCGGCGCTGAGGTGTACAGACACCTCAGCGCGGGGTGTTCAGCTGCTGCACTCCCCTCGTCATTTTTAATTTCTTTTATTTCTTTTCCTGCATTTAAAATAATTCAAATTTATCTGCACAAAGTCCCATTTGCAGCATTTTCGGGGTTCACACACAGCCATGGGCGGCAAGGCTTTGCTGCTGCTGCTGCTGCTGCTGCTGCAGCAAACGCCCGTCGACAGCGAGGTGGGAAGAATCCTTGTACAGCTTAACTGGCTTTCCCTTTTTTAATTATAATCGAAACTTAATTTTCAAAATTAAGAAATGCAATTCGCTGTGGGGCCTTCTCGGCGGGTGTGCTCGCAGGCTGCTGCTGCTGCTGCTGCTGCTGCTGCGTGTCTTACCGCCGCAGCAAGGGCTGGCGTGGCGAGTCGGCTTTCGTCTTTTTCTGATTTTACCCTTCCCAGAACAAGTCTATTAAATCCAATTCATTTCAATAATTCCAATTTAGCCTCTTTTCCAGCTTCTCTCTCTAAGGCTGCGTCTTTCGCCACGCAGCAGCAGCAGCAGCAGCAGCAGCAGCTCAGTGCTTCCCCGCCGAAAATGACGAAGACGGCGCTCGTTGTGCTCGTGAGTTAAAGGTCTTTAATAATTAAATTTAATAAATAAAGTAAAACAAATTCCCCCCGAACACGCAGTGTTCCGCTGCGCACACACTGCTGCTGCTGCTCCCCAGCAGCAGCAGCAGCAGCAGCAGCGGCAGCTTTTGGCCTTTCTGCAGCAGCAAAATGCAGCTTGTGGGCTGCGAGCGCCAGCAGCAAATGCACACGGGCCTAGGCCCCAGGTGTACGTACACCGCAGCAGCAGCTGCACTTGCTGTCACGGGAGGCCCTGCTGCTGGTGTCGCTGCTGCTGCTGCCCATGTTGCTGCTGCTGCTGCTGCTGCTGCTGCTTTTGCTGCAGGCAAATGGGGCAGAGGATGTGGAGTTCGTAGCCGCAGTCGACGTCCTGCGTCGTGCCGGTGTGTCAGGGTTTAGGGTTTAGGGTTTAGGGTTTCGGGTTTAGGGTTTGACATGTGCAGACTCTTGGCGCCTCTTGAAGCAAGGGTTTAGGGTTTATCTGTTCCTTCTAGGGTTAGAGCATCCCCTTGTTGCCGCCGGCCAGCCGGCCCCAAACCCTCCAGGGTTTAGGGTTTAGGGTTTAGGGTTTAGGGTTTAGGGTTTGCGCAGGGATGAAGGTGTTGGTGGCGAGCGTGGGGGACTCGCTGTTTGTGAAAACCTCCCACGGATTAAAAATCGAAGGAGACATTTTGTTGAAGGAGGTTTCTGAACAAAACAACTACGACGTCATTGTCATCCCCGGCGGTAAACCCTAAACCCTAAACCCTAAACCCTAGCGTGCAAGCGCCAAACCCTAAACCCTAGCGCAGAGCCCTAAGCTTCACGCCCTAAACCCTAGGGCTTCAGTTTGGTGCGGCCGCTGCGCAGCGCCAGAGGCGCAGACGCACATTCGCATTCTAAGGTCTAGGGTTTAGGGTTTAGGGTTTAGGGTTTAGGGTTTGACGTGGGTAGCAGTGCCTGCGTTGCACAACGGAGCCCTAGGTCCCTTCGCTGAATTTGCCGCGTCCATTTTGCTGCTGCTGCTGCTGCTTTTGTTTCTGCTGCTGCTGCTTTTGCTGCTGCTGCTGCTTTTGCTGCTGCTGCTTTTGCTGCTGCTGCTGCTGCCTTTGTTTCTGCTGCTGCTGCTTTTGCTGCTGCTGCTGCTGCTTTTGTTTCTGCTGCTGCTGCTTTTGCTGCTGCTGCTGCTTTTGCTGCTGCTGCTGCTTTTGCTGCTGCTGCTGCAGGGCTGAAGGGCGCGGAGAACTGCCGGGACAGCAGCCACCTTGCTGCGCTGCTGCGCGCGCAGCACAGCAGCAGCAAATGGATAGCAGCAATTTGTGCTTCTCCAGCTTTGGTGCTGCAGCAGCAAGGGTTTTTGGAAAACGTCCGCGCAGTGGCTTACCCCTCCTTCCAGCAGCAGCTGCCGCTCAAGGGCGAAGGCAGGGTTTGCGTCGACAAGCACTTCAGTGAGGGTTTAGGGTTTAGGGTTTAGGGTTTAGGGTTTAGGGTTTAGGGTTTGGGGTTAGGGTTTAGGGTTCGGGGTCAGGGTTGGGGTTTAGGGTTTAGGGTTTGGGGTTCGGGGTTTGCGGAGGAGGAGGGGCTAGGGTTTCTGGCAGCCTACAGGGTTTACGGTTTAGAGTTTAGGGTTTAGGGTTTAGGGTTTAGGGTTTACGGCGTGCGAGCAAGCCTGCCGCCTAGGGTTTAGGGTTTAGGGTTTAGTCAGCGTGGGAATCTCTCGTTCTCTGTCTGTTTTCTTTTATTTCTTTTACACAATTACTAATTAACGGGGCTGCCGTTCATTTGCGGTCAATTTGCCCTGCTGCTGTTGCTGCTGCTGCTGCTGCTGCTGCTGCTGCAGTAACTTCTGTGGGCCCGGGGAGCGCAATGGAGTTTGCTTTGGAGATTGTGAAGCATCTTGTTGGCGAAGCAAAATATGAAGAGTTGAAGAAGGGCCTTTGCATGCCCTAGGCCAAACCCTAAACCCTAAACCCTAGGCACAGCGAGGCTGGCGCTGCGAAACCCAGCAGCAGCAGCAGCAGCAGCGGCAGCAGCAGCAGCAGCAACTTCGAAACGCTTATTTCTCCTCATTTTGCTTCTTCCTTTTTGTCTCCTTCGTAGTTCGCCAGCCCTATTTAGGTCAGCCCGCGCAGCAGCGGCGCCAAACCCTAAACCCTAAACCCTAAACCCTAGGCCTCTTAGGAAGAGGAGTTGGGCGCGCCAACGCGAAAAAGTAGCTGCTGCAGTGTGTCTACACGTAGCAACAGCAGCAGCAACAGCAGCAGCAGCAGCAGCAGGGAAGTAGTGTTTCGGCTGCTGCTGTTGCTGCTGCTGCTGCTGCTGCAGTGTACGGGCTCAGAAGCGTGTCCAGTCTCATGTGGAACAACAGCCGCAGCAGCAGCAGCAGCAGACTTTTAGTTTATATATATTTAGATAAAGTAAAATATGCAAAGCGGGACAAAGTCGTAAAAAACCTAAAAGGGGGTTTAAGAGCTGGCAGCAGCTGCAGCCAGCAGCAGAAGCTGCAGTGGGGGCCCCTGGCAGCAACTGGGGGGGGGCCCCAGGACGGGTTTATCTTCGCTTTATGCATTTATTTTAAATTCTTTTTGTTTATTTTAATTTGTTTTAATTTATTTTATTTATTTTCATCTATTTATTGCTTTATAGCTCGTTCTTACCTCTCCAAATAAGGTATTTCGGATCAGGGGGGCCCCCAGCCATGCCTGGGTTCTGTGATGCTGCTGCTTCGCCAGTTGTCATTTAATTTGGTGGAATTAATTTGATTGAATTAAATAAATCAATTTAATTCAATTTTATTTTGTTTTTATTTTTTAAATATGCCAAAAACATTTACTTCGAAGTTCCCAGACGCTGGAACGCAGGACAGCCCAGTGACCCATGGAGTGTACAGACAGCAGCAGCAGCAGCAGCACCAACGGCAGCAGCAGCAGCAGCAGCAAAAACGAAAATAGCAGCAGCAGGAGGGACGACAACAGTAGCGTGAGAAGCAGCAGCGGCAACAATAAGAACAGCGGTAGCGGCGCCTCCAGCAGCAACTGCAGCAGCAGCAGCAGCAGCAGCAGCAGCGGCAGCCACAAACCTGAACCCGAGCGAAAGCGCTCTCCCCTTTCCCTCCCTACCAACTGCATCTCCATCAGCAGCGACTCCGACTCCGACTCCAGCAGCAGCAGCAGCAGCAGCAGCAGCAGCAGCAGCAGAAATAATGCAGTTATTATATCCGACAGTGAAGATGACCTAAACTACCAAACAGATTTGCTGGCCGTTCTGGACTCGGACAGCGAGGGCCCCCGGGGGGCCCCTGGGGGCCCCCTGGGGGCCCCCGGGTCGCCGCGAGCAGCAGCAGCAGCAGCAGCAGCAGCTGCTGCTGCTGCTGCTGCTGCTGCTGACTTTCCCTGCCTTCATGACCTCTTTGCGCTCTATAACGCCTCTTTTTTTGGGGGCCAGTTGGCAGCAGTTGAAGTAAAGTGGAGCAGCAAAATGACACTTTGTGCAGGACTTTGTGTCTACCAGGTCAGCAGCAAACTTGCATTTGGCAAACAAGTTGCTTTTTTCAATCTTTTATTTTGCTGCTGCTTCCTTTTGCTGCTGAGCTGCTGCGCCTTTAGCTGCCCTTTTTCGTGTCTTCTTTGGCCATTTTTTGGTATATCTTGTGCCTTTTGTTATCTGCTGCTGCTGCTGCTGCTGCTGCTGCTGCTGCTCTGTAGGCTGGAGGCTTCTGCTCCATTCGCCTCTCTGAGCCCCTACTCAAGTTCCGCTCGCTTAAAGAATTCAAGGTCTGCTGCTGCTGCACCTGCTGCAGCACGTGCTGCTGCTGCTGCTGCACCTGCACCTGCTGCTTCACCTGCTGCTGCACCTGCTGCAGCACCTGCTGCAGCACCTGCCACTGCACCTGCTGCAGCACATGCTGCTGCAAATGCGGCTGCACCTGCTTCTGCACCTGCTGCTGCACCTGCTGGAGCACGTGCAGCTGCAACTGCTGCTGCAGCTGCTGCTCCAACTCCTGCTGCACTGCTGCTGTACCCGCCACTGGAACCGCTGCTACAGCTGTTGCTGCAACTGCTGCTTCAACTGTTGCTGCGGCTGCCGCTGCAACCTCCATCGCTGCTGCTGCTGCTGCTGCTGCTGTCGCCGCTGCTGTAGCTGCTGCTGTTGCTGTTACTGCTGCAGCAGCTGCTGCTGCTTCTTTGCTGAGCTATCCCGAGTAGAAGCACTTTATTTATTTTTGTTTTTAATTTTATTTATTTTTTTGTTTCCAGGAAACTCTTCTTCACGAAATGATTCATGCTTACCTCTTTGTTACCCAAAAATACAAAAACCACAGCGCCCATGGACCCGTCAGCCTGCTGCTGCTGCTGCTGCTGCTGCTGTTGCTGCTGCTTTTGCTGCTGCTATTGCTGCTGCTGCTGCTCCTACCATCGACACTTCTGTTGCTGCCGTTGGTCTTTCAGTTGCCGCTGCTGCTGCTATTTGGACGGCGCTGCTGCAATTACTGCTGCTGCTGCTGCTGCTGCTGCTGCTGCTGAAGCAGCAAGCGACTCCCCCGCCCTCCCCTCCCTCGCCGCAGCTTCCCTCCCCTGGATCACCAACAACTTAATTGAACTTAATTATTATTTATTTATTTTTATTAATTATTTGTTTATTTTTATTTATTTTTATTTATTTATTATTAGTTGTTTCTGGAGCACATGCGCCGGCTCAACGCGCTGACGGGTTTGGAGATTTCCGTCTTCCACAACTTCGCAGCAGAAGTGCAGCACTACAGAACCCACGTCTGGAGGTGCCAGGTCTGCTGCTGCTGCTGCTGCTGCTGCTGCTGCTGTGCTGCTGTGGTGGTGGTGGTGGTGCTGCTGCTGTGGTGGTGCTGCTGCTGTGGTGCTGCTGTTGTTGTTGTTGCTGTTGTTGTTGCTGTTGTGTTGCTGTTGATGCTGTTGTTGTTGTGTTGCTGCAGCTCCTGTTGCTGCTGCTGCGGTTGCTTGGTTGCTGCTGCCGCGGTGCTGGTTGCTGCTGCTCTTTAACTGCTCATGCTGCTGCTGCTGTGGCTCTTTTTGCTGCTGTTGTTGCTGGTAGTGCTGTTGTGCTGCTGATGGAGCTGCGCTGCTGCATTTCCTGTTGCTGCTGACAGCGGCCGCCCTGCTGCTGCTGCTGCTGCTGCTTCAGCCACTGCTGGTGCTGCTATAGATATTGCTGCTGCTGCTGCTGCTGCTGCTGCTTCTTGCTGCAGCAGCTTCTGAGTGCATGCCTTCGCGGCTGTGGCTGCCCTTCCCCTGCCTGCCTCTCCGCTGTTAAACCCTAAACTCCACCTAAACCCCAAACCCTAAACCCCACCTAAACCCCAAACCCTAAACCCTAAACCCTTTTTTGTGGTTTAGGGCCCTTGCCGCTCTCGGCCGCCTTACTTTGGCTTCGTGCGGAGGGCCATGAACAGACAGCCGGGGCCTAATGACTGGTGGTGTAAGTTTTTATTTTTTATTTTATTTTTAATTTTTAATTTTAATTTTTTGTTTTTTGTTTCTTTTATTACCTTTTATTTTTATTAGTTATTTCTTCTTTATATCTTTTTTATATCTTTTCTTATTTCTGCTCAAGTGCTTTTTTTGTTTCCATTTTGTTTCATTTTTATTTCTTTTTCATCTCATTTTTGTTTCTTTTTTGCTCCTTTTCGTATTTCCTTTTAGTTCTTTTATTTCTTTTTATTTCTTTTTTGCCTTTTAGTTTGTTCCTTTATTGTCCCTCTTTGTCCCTTCTTTTGTCTCCATTTGTTTTTCCATTTATCTTTTTAATTTTTTTGATTTTCTTTTTTGTCCTTCTTTGTCTCCTTTTGTTTCCCGATTTATTTCATTTTTTAGTTATAATTTGTCGCTTTATTTATAAATTTATTTTTTTCTCTTTTATTTATTTATTTATTTCTCTTTTTGTTTTATTTGTATTTTGTTTGTCTCCTCGTTTGTCTCCTTTTATCTTTTTCAGTTTACAAATTTATTTACTTATAAATTATTATTTCATTTTCATTTTAATCATTTTAATTCTGTCTCCTTTTGTGTCTCTTTGTTCATCTCTTCCACCTGTCCCCCCACATTCACGCCTCAAGGTTTAGGGTTTAGTGTTTAGGGTTTAGGGTTTAGGGTTTAGGGTTTGCGTATAGGGGCGCAGCACGCGGCGAGCTGCGGCGGAAGTTATATTAAAATTAGCGAGCCAGAGCCGAAGGGGAAAAAGCAAAAAAATAAAATAAATAAAGAGACAGGTAAAGGAGACAGCAGCAAACCAGCAGCAGCAGCAAACCAACAGCAGCAGCAAACAAGCAGCAGCAGCAACGCAGAAGCAGCAGCAATGCAGAAGCAGCAGCAACGCAGAAGCAGCAGCAGCTCACTACTTGCCTCCTCCGCCTTTGCTGCTGCCGCAGCGAAGACGCGAGCCGCTGCACCCCGTGAAGCCCTCACCAACAGCAACAGCAGCAGCAGCAGCAGCAGCAGCAGCAGCAGCAGCAGCAGCAGCAGCAGCAGCAAAATTCTACCGATCAACTCATTTTTTTCGAAGCGGCAGAAGCTGGGAGAGAGTGAGGACAGCTGCTTGTCTCTTTTGGTCTTTCTTTTTGTCTCTCTGTTTCATTTCTTTTTGCTTCTTTTCCGTCACTTTTGCTGCTGCTGCTGCTGCTGCTGCTGCTATTGGTGTTGCTGCTGCTATTGCTGCTGCTGCTGCTGCTGACATTGCTGTTGCTGCTGCTGCTGCTTTATAATGCCTCAGAATCTCAGGACACAAAACTGGAAGAGGCGTCTGGCCGCGGTTCGCCTGCTGCTGCTGCGACTCCTGCTGCCGCTGCTGCAGCCCCTGCTGCTGCTGCTGCAGCTAGCGAAGCAGCAGCAGCAGCCACTAATAGAGATAAGCCGGATCCTCGGTCTCGCGAACGAATTATGGCAGCGGAGCTCCGCGCTGCAGCAGCAGAAAGGCGTGCTGCAGCAGCAGCAGCAGCAGCAGCGGCAGCAACAGAACAGAATACGGCCTAAAATGCCAGTTTGCTGCTGCAGTGTTCCCCGCTGGGAATGAGCTGCTGCTGCTGCTGCTGTGCTGCTGTGCTGCATGCATGCACCGGACCGTTTCTGCGTCTGCTGCTGCTGGTGGCGCCGAGGGCCACTTTACGAAAACCTTCTTTTAAAACTCAGCACTATCTGAATTTAATTTACTATTTTAATTTAATTGAATTTAATTTAATTCAAAAAGTCCACTACAAATGCTGCACTCGCGTCCCCGCGGAGTGTCACTACGGCCTTCAGGTGTATCTGCAGCTGCCAGCGAGACAGCCGAATGTTCACTTATGAAAAAAAGAAAAAAGCTAATTGGCAGAAATTCAAAACTTGCAAAACTTGCAAAACTTGCAGAAGTTGCAGAACTTGCAGATTTCTGGCTGCCTGTTTGGTATGTTCTCGGCGAAAGGAATTCTATGTTTAGTTTTCAGATTATCGTTCTGCATTGCCGGGGAGTGTGCAAAAGAACGAATACCTTTTGAAGTGTCTTTGTCAGATGCAGCGAAGCACCCAAAGTTTAAAACAGTTTGTGGCTGGTCTGTTTGCCCGCGTCTTGGCCGCTGTCTTCCAGATCTGCAGAGGTGGAAAGACGGGGAAATTGAAGATTGCTGAGACTAAATGCGCCGAAAAACGAGCTGCAGCAGCCGCATGCAGCCACTGACACGGGAAGCAGCGCAGCAAACCACAGGTTTCTATTCAACAACGCTGTTCACGTTTTCGAGTTCAAGTTTCGCGAGGGCAGTTCCCGCCATTCGACTCCAAAAACAAAAAGCAGTTGGAGCGGCGCGAGGCAATTCCGCGAAATAAAGCAGGATTCCACAAAAGTGATGCGAGATTCCAAGCGTTTCGCGCGGGAGGCGCGCTATCTTTGCGGTGTACGTACACCTGGCGAGCGGCCGCCGGCGCCACATTCCAAACAGCCGGACCTGGAGCTTTCGCGGCGTCGGAGGCGCGGAACGGCCGCGTTTTTCCGCGCCGCGGGAAATAAAGAGCGAACTAATTACTCGGGAGCTGCTGCTGCGCTGCTGAGGCTGCTCCTTTCCACAATGCTGAGCTGCTCGACCCGGCGCGCGAGCGCGAGCAGCGAAACCACGTGCCGGCCTGCGGGCACGAGCTGCGCCGTGGCGAGGTACCTTTTTTTCGCCACGTTTGCATTTCCCTCTTTCATCAACTGCGTCGCTCTGCGGCGGGGGCTGCCGTGCGGACTTTGCTGCGAAAGCACCGCCAGGCTGCGCCGCAGCCGCTCGCCCGCGCTCTGCACTGCGGAGTCCAGCTGGTACCAGGCCCCGTTCTCGGCGACGCAGCGCAGCACGCCGCGAGCGTGTTCGAAGGCCTCTCTGCGGAGGCGGTCGGCCTTGTCGGCGCATGCAACAGCTGCTGCTGCTGCTGCGCTGCGCGCAGCTTCTTCGGCGAGCCGCTGCGCCTCCGCCGCGGCAGTTTCCACCAGCCCGCTCAGCTGCAGCGCCGCCGACGCCGACTTCGCCACCTGCGCGTGTCTGCTCTCCGCATGCAGCAGCAAATAGTTCACTGCCTGCAGACTGTCCACAGTGCTCGCCGCGATCTCGGCGAACTCCGCCGCAGCAGCGGCTTCCAGCTGCGTCCGCAGCTGCAGCGCGCGCAGCTGCGCCTCGGGGTCCGCCCGCGGGGCCCCCGGGGGCCCCCCGGGCGCGCCCGCGGGGGCCCCCGCGGGGGCCCCCGCGGGGGCCCCCGCGGGCCCCTCGGCCTCGGCGGGGGCCCCCAGCTGCTGCGCCTCCGCAAAGGCCTCCTCAGCCACTGCGCAGAAGTGCCGCAGCTTCTGCAAGTGCGAGAGGGCCCTCACGGGGCGCTTCTCGCGGGCCAAGGAGGCCCTGAGCCTGTCGGCCTCCGCGCGGGCCTCGTGGGCCCTGCGGAGGGCCCCCGCGAGGCGCAGCAGGTGGGGGCCCCCGCATGCAGCCATGTACTCGAGGTCCACGAGGCCCTGGTCCAGCTGCAGCAGCAGCGCAGCAGCTTCGAGGCGGAAGCTGGCGAGCTGCGCAGGAGCAGCAACTTCGGCCCAGCGCGCGGCTTCCTGGTGGCTTTGCTGCACGCGGGCGAAGACAGCTTCTGCGGAGGCTGCGCGCCGCGCCAGCGCATGCAGCCCCGCTGCTGCTGCTGCTGCTGCATGCGGCAGCCCCTCCGTCAGCTGCTCCGCCGCATGCAGCAAAGACCCCAGCATGCTGTAGTCCCACTTGGCTGCGCGCGCCAGCTGCTCCGTCAGCGCCAGCTCCACCCGCAGCGGCTCCGTTGCTGCTGCTGCTGCTAGAGCAGCAGCAGTTGAGGCTTTGAAGTCTATGCTGTGCGACAGGAAGCCGGCTTCCCGCTGCACGAACCGCAGCCGCTCCAGCGCCCGCTGCTGCAGCTCCACCACCAGCTCCTGCAGCTCCCCCGCGAACGCCGCCTCGCTGCTGCTGCTGCTGCTGCGCTGCTGCAGCAGCTGCAGCCGCGTCGCCAGCAGCTCCGCGGCGCCGCACTCGCTCTTGTCCCCCAGCGCCTCCCGCAGGCTCCCCACCGCCTTCAGCAGCGACGCGTAGTCTTCGCCTGCGCTGCTGCTGCTGCTCGCGGCGCCCGCGCGGCTGCTGCTGCTGCTCGCGCTGCTGCTCGCGCTGCTGCTGCGCCCGCTGCTGCTGCTGCTGCTCCCCGCCCCCGAGCCCCCGCGCCCCGCCAACGCGCCCCCAGCCCGGACCCCCACCAGCAGCCCCGCTGCCACCAGCAGCGCCAACAGCGAAACCCCCACTTTGCTGCGGCCCCTCCGAGGCAGGGCCCCCAAGTTGGGCAGCGCGGGGCCCTCCTCGGGGCCCCCAGCCTCTGCTGCTGCTGCTGCTGCTGTCGTCGGCGTTGCGGCGTTGAACGAAACCGAGGGCGGGAAGCTCTGCTCGTAAGAACTCACCACGTCCGTGTTGTAACTCGTCAGCGTGTCTGCTGCTGCTGGCCAGCGGGGCTCCGCCTCCTTGTTCGCCGCGCTGCTGGCCGCGGCGGGGCAGGCGCAGCGCAGCAGCAGCAGCTGCAGCTGCAGCAGCAGCAGCAGCAGGGAAAGCCCCAGCAGCGAGAAGGGGAAAGAAGCTGCGGAGACGCGCATTGGGCTCCAAAAGATGCCGGAGTGCAGCTTCAGCGACAGGCGAAGGCAGCCAACAGGGGGAGGAAGCAAAGTTGAAATTGGCCAGATCTGCCCATGGCGCGTCCCATGCCGCGATCCGCTGGCGCCAACATGTACAGTTTCCTATTCTGCTTTAATTAAAAAAGCAAACGCAAAGAAGCAGACGAACTCGCGGCGACCAAAGTGCCAAGTTGCACAGCCGGATCGAGTGGGTCGCCCGGGTCCTCGAGAGGCCGCGGACGCGAACTATTCTCGGACTCTCGGCGCTGTTTCGCCGATTGCAATTGCTATAAATTGCAGAAAACCCCAAATGCAGAAAGAAAGAGGAAAGTCCTCGAGATCCGCAGCCCCCAACCCCGCCCGTCGATGCGTTCAGGGCTCGCTCGCGTCGCTGGTTGCTTCCGGATTCTGCTTTTCCAGCCGCAATTGGCCCATTAAAAGTGGAAAGCTCCGATGGAAACTCTTTTTAAATCAAAACCCGACGCGTTAATGCCTTTTTCCTCGGAGAATCCCCCAGAAAAAGGCGAGAAACCTGCAAACGGACGCGCGTACTCTCACTCCCGTTTGTTCAACTCCGCGCTGCGAGCACAAGACGGCTTGCAGGTCCTCCGAGCCGTGACCACTTGTCATTTTTTCTTTTAAAACAACTCTTTTGCTTCCCTCGGCCTCCCAGGTGGCCTATTTCCCCGCTTTCTTCTTCGGCTTTGCCTCCACTCTACGGCCGACGGCGGCAGCGGCGCCGCCCTCGGGTGTCTGCGCACCTGCTGCTGCACCCCTGCGAGGAAAACGCAATTAAGAGAAACGAAAAAACATCTTTCGCCCAACTTTAGTTGTTTTGCTGCAGTAGCTGCGTGTCTGCTGCTAGCTCTGCTCGCGCTGCTGCTGCTGCCACCCCGCAGCAGCAACCGCGAGCACTGATGCAGCGTCTAGTTCATTTTGCCTCACCACTCCACAAACCACTTAGTAGATCTTCTTAAACTCACTTCTTGAGGAATTTGCAGCAAATTACAAGGAGCGGCTTTATCACAAACTGCGAGCCGGCGCAGCAATGAGAACCACGCAGACAAGGCCCTGCGTGCCCTAGGGTTTAGGGTTTAGGGTTTGGGGTCTTGCAGCTGCCCCACGGGGTACTTCACAGCTTCAAAGAGCTAGAAGCCTTACAAATGACGCAGAAGGCTGCGAAGCCTTATCAGTTGGAGTCACTGGTTGGGTTTTTGCAAAGTTTAACTTCAACCGACAAATTTAAATTGAATTTGTCTTCAAAAAAAAATTCCATTGTGTCTTGAAGGATGAAAACCCTTTCTCCAGAGGCCCCCCGGGTCAGAAGGGGGCGCAGGCAAGGACCCCCCCTGCTGCTCTAGGGTTTAGGGTTTAGGGTTTAGGGTTTGGGATCTTTGAGCGCCTCTGGCTGCATCCCCCCGGCACTATACAGGCATAAGAATTGGACAAAAATGCAGCAGCAAATATGCAACAATAAAGGCTCAATAATAAAGATTTAATGATTAAAATTTAATAATGAAGTCTAAATAATAATAAGATTTAATAATGGTGTTGTAAACCTTAAAAGTAAATTTGAAATAAATATTTCACAATTAACCCAAGAGAGGCCGGGCTGGCTGAGTCTGTTTTGTCTGCTGCTCACTAAGAGCTGCAAGCCCCAAAGCTGCAAAAACAGCAGAGCAGCAGTAGCAGCAGCAGCAGTGGCAGCAGCAGCAGCAAGTGGCAGCAGCAGCAGCAGCAGAAGCGGCAGTGATTAGAAAAAGAAGATAAAAAAATAAAGGAAGAAAAGATAAAAGGAGAGGGATGGAGAGAAACTGAGGCAGCGGGAGCGGCAGCAGCAGCAGCAGCAGCAGCGCAGCAGCAAAAGCTTTACCTCCCAAAATCCAAAGACCCAAACGCCTCCGCTCTCTTATAAACCTGAGCACGCAGCAGCAGCAAACCGGCAGCAGCAAGTTGGCCGTGCAAAGCTGCTGCTGCAGCAGCCGCAGCAGCAGCAGCAGCAGCAGCAGATAGCCAGCTCTTGTATTCGCACATATTTGCAACATGTGCCCACGACGCACTAACCGCAGCAGCAGCAGCAGCAGCAGCATCAGCAGCAGGATCAGCAGCAGCAGCATCAGCAGCAGCATCAGCAGCAGCAGCAGCAGCAGCAGCATATTACCACAAAGGGAGGCAGCCCTTGTTTGAGAGCAGCAAATCGACCCCCAGCAGTCCCAAGACAGAAGCAGCAGCAAGATATAATCCGCTGAGGGGTTCTTCATGCACAAGGCCTGAGACAAAGTAGACAGTTGCGGCAGCTAGGGTTTAGAGTTTAGGGTATAGGGTTTAGGGTTTGGGGTTTAGGGTTTAGGGTTTGCGGACCACATATCAGCACTGAATGGACCACGTAGAACAGAGACAGCCCCAGGCGCCCCACGTTGTAAAAGCCCCGGTGCTGCCGCTGCAGACAAAGCCCAAACAACCAAACCCTAAACCCTAAACCCTAAACCCTAGCAAATAGGTGTCCTCAGGAGAGGGGGCGTGTCCGGCAGCAACAGGCTGAGCCCTAGGGTCGGAGGCTCATGAATTAGGGTTTAGGGATCAGACTTTGTTAGCTAGGGTCTGGGGTTTAGGGTTTGGGGCTTGGAAATTAGGGTTTAGGGTTTTAAGCTACCTTTGGGGGAAACCCTAACTCTGCGAGCTGCAGGCCAACATGAACGGCTGCCTGAAAAGAACATACCCTCAAATCCATAAACCCTAAACCCTAAACCCTCAGGACCAGCAGATACTCCAGGTGTCCCCAGGACCCCTGTGGGGCCCCACATGTGCCCTAGGGGGCCCCCACAGGGGCCCCACGGGGGGCCCCTGTGGGGGCCCCCCAGGGTACGCGTGTGGGGCCCCCTAGGGGGCCGCCTAGAAGCCTTTAGGGGCCCCACAGGGCCCTTGGGGGCCCCTGAGGGTACGGCAGGTCCCCGGAGCTGCTTCTGGGGCCCTTGAAGGACCTCTTTTGGGGGCCTCCCGGGGCCCCTATGGGGGCCCCCTATGAGGGGCCCCCAGGGGCGCCTGGGGCCCCCCAAAAGGGCCTGAAGGGCCTCACATTTGCTGTAAGAAGAGCCGCCGCGTAGGCAATGAGGGCCGAGAGAAGGTCTCTGGCTGCAGCGGGGAGGCCGAGAGCTGCAGCAATTCAAAAAAACAAAATTAAAAAATTCGAAAAGTCCCTTAAAATGGAGCTTTTCGGGAGAGGACTCGTGGGGGAAAACCGGCAAAGAAGCCGCTAAAAAGGGGGCCCCAAGGGGCCCCAAAAAGACCCAATTAAGCGCATGCAGACAACTCGAAAAGGGGATTCGCGCGGCTGCGGGTTCGGACTTTTTCGGGTTTTACACCTGCAGAGTCTGGAGACTTTTGAAGCTTCAAAAGTCCATTTTCGAGACTCTTTGGCAAAAAGCAATTAAAAGATTATTCAATCAAAAGCCTTGAAGCAAAAATTTCGCGTTTTCGCGAAAACGCGGATGCATGCATGCATGCAGTTCAGGTGTACGTACACCTCAGAGTTGCGCGGCGCTGCGGTGTACGTACACCTCAACACGCGCGCCGCTGCGCCCCGAATTCAAAAGTGCATTTATTCTTATTTTTTGGAATTAAAAATAGTAAATAAACACAAAAAGGCAAAAAAGGGAGTTACAAATGCGAAAAAACTCGAAAAGGCGCGAACAAATTGCAAAGTTGCATTTGAAAAGTCCGAAATTCAATTTATTTCTCTTTCAAAATTAAAACCTTTTTAACCTCCAGATGCATGCGGCACAAGAACCAGCAGCGGCTCCCCCAGGCCCACAGCAGCAGCACCTAGGGTTTAGGGTTTAGGGTTTAGGGTTTAGGGTTTGGTAGTGCTTACGCGGCAGCAAATGAACACCCATTGCCATCACGCCCAAAGGAGCTGCTGCCAAAATTCTCAAAAACAAAACTTGGGGCTGAGGGGCCAGCAGCCTGCGGGCCCACAGCGGGAGGAACTCTGCTGCAGCAGAGCTGCTGCTGCTGCTGCTGCTGCTGCTGCTGCTGCTGCTGCTGCTGCTGCTGCTGCTGCTGTTGCTGCTGCTGCTGCTGTTGCTGCTGCTGTTGCTAGGGGCGGGGGAAGGCGGCCCTACAAAGTCCGATGGGTAGGAAATGCAGTCAGGCAGGGGAAAGGGGACTTCCTCTGCTGCTGCTGTGTGCTGCTGCTCCAGCCGCCGCTGCTGTTGCTGCTGCTGCAGTTGCTGCTGTTGCTGCTGCTGCTGCTGCTTCCTGGAGTGCGCTGCTGCGTGGAAGCGAGAAGGCAGCGGCGTCAGCAGCCAGGCACCTGCGGAGACCCCAGGGGGCCCCCAACGCAGCAGCAGCCGGTGGGGGCCCCCGTGGGGGCCCCCCTGGGGGCCCCCTGCCAGCGGAGGGTACAGAGCACCCGACAAAGCACTACTTTTGCTGCTGATGCTGCTGCTGCTGCTGGAGGCTGCAGCAGCTGGGTGTAGGGGCACAGGGGGGCGCAAGGAGCTGCTGCAGCAGCAGCAGCACCGCGGTGTGCTGCTGCTGCTGCTTCTGCTGCTGCTGCTGCCGCGGGGCCGCAGCAGCAGCGCGGGGCTCTCAAAGTGGCGAGCAGAAGCTCTCACGGCTGCTGTCGCTGCGCGCATTTCCGGAAGCCTCTGCCGCGGCAGCAGCAGCAGCAGCTGCTGCTGCTGCTGCTGCAGTTCAGGTGTGTGGACTCTGCTGTGTGCAGCAGGGGGCCCCTCAGACCCCATCAAAGGCCTTCTTCTGCATGCAGGGGGCCCCCAAGCTGCTGGGTCTCGCTGACTAGCTGCGGGGGCCCCGGGGCCCCCACGAGGAGTTGTGTGGGAGGGGAAAAGGCAGCAGCAAGCGTTGCAACGGGACTGCAGCAGCAGCAGCAGCAGCAGCAGCAGCAGCAAAGACAGCAGCACACTGTTGAAGTTTTCAAAATAAGAGTTGCGGGGCCCCAAAAGGCCTGGGGAGGAGGAGGAGGAGGCGTGTGAGCGGGGTCGCGCAGCAGCAGCTGCTGCTGCTGCTACTGCTGCTGCTCTTCTTGCTGCTGCTGCTGCTGCTGGGTGATTTGGCACATATTTTGTTTGTTTTTTCTTCATTGTTTTTTTAAACTTTATTTCTTTCCTAAATTTCTCTCCAGCCTGCAGCAGCAAGACCACCCGTAATCGATGCAGCAGCAGGTGTCCCGCTGCGCTGCGCCAGGGCTGGGTTTTCCTTTTTTCTTCTTCAGTTTGAACTCATTTATTTAAATAAACTTTAATTTGGAAGTGTTCTAGTTCATCCAGGATTCTCCTAGCAGCAGCAGCAGCAGCAGCAGCAGCAGCAGCGGCGGCGTCGGCAGCAGCTAGCTGGAAGGCACCCACGAAGGAGGCACGCTGCAGTAGCCCAAGCAGCCCAAACAGCAGCAGCAGCAGCAGCAGCAGCACCAGCAGCAGAAGATGCGGATCCACGAGCCAGGGGGAAGGCGCTCGGGAGCTGCAGCTGTGCTGCTGCTGTGTCTCTCCCTAGCTGCAGGCGCTGCAGCAGCGGCGGAGGTGCAGCCGCTATCAGCAGCAGCAGCAGCAGCAGCAGACGCAGCAGCAGCAGCCGCTGCAGCTGCAGAGGCAGCAGCAGCAGGACTCCCCGTCGCGGCCGCGTCCCCCGGGCAGCCCGGCCCAGGCGTGCACACCGGCATCGACGAGACGCAGCAGCAGCAGCTGCAGCAGCAGCAGCAGCAGCAGCAGCACGCGCTGTTCTCGCTGCTGTGGATGACAGATATTCACGAAGACCCTCTCTATGACCCTGCTGCTCCTGTCTCCCACTCTTGCCGCCGCCACAAGATGGCAAGGGGGCCCCCCTACCAGAAGGGGGCCCCCCTTTGGTTTAGGGGCCCCCCCTTCTTTGGGGGCCCCCAAAACCGCCACCGGGGCCCCCCCCCGGGCCTCCCCTGGCGGCTGCATCACCGCCCCATTTACCGGAGCCCCGGGGGGCCCCTCAGGGGCCCCAGGGGCCCCCTCGGCCGCCCTTGGGGGCCCCCCTTTCCCCGTAGGGGCCCCCCTCATGGCCCTGTGTGGCCCCACCACCACCATTGGGGCCCTCTTCATGGCCCCAGGGGCCCCCCCCATGGCCCCAGGGGCCCCCCCCATGACCATTTGGTGCCTCCGCCACCCCCTAGGGGCCCCCCACATGGCCCTGGGGGCCCCCACCATGGCCCCAAGGGGCCCCCTCATGACCCTAGGGGCCCCCCACATCACCCCGAGGGGCCCCCACATCACCCCGAGGGGCCCCCACGTCACCCCGAGGGGCCCCCACACCACGCCTGGGGGCCCCCACATCACCATGGGCCCCCCCAGCATGGCCCCAGAGGGCCCCCTCATGGCCATGGGGGCCCCCATTCAGACCCTAGGGGCCCCCCCCCAGGCCCTAGGGGCCCCCCTGAAGACCCGAGGGGCCCCCCTAGAGGCCCGAGGGGCCCCCTTGAAGACCCGAGGGGCCCCCCTGAAGACCCTAGGAGCTCTGCCAGCGGGCCTGTGCCATTTGTTGGGCGCCGGCTCATGAATATGTACCATTCAGAAGACTCGCAGCAGCAGCAGCAGCAACAGCAGCCGGTGCTGCAGCAGCGGAGGAGGTGGATTCCGCGGGCCGCTATGTGGAGAAATCGAATGACAGCAGCAGCAGCAGCAGCAGCAGCAGCAGCAATGCCAGCAGCAGAAACAGACCCAGAGCTTGGCCGAGCTGGCTGCGACTCTCCTCCGGCCCTTGTGAAGAAGGCCCTGCAGTTTGCTGCTTCCCTAGCCTACCCAGGTGCTGCCTTTGCTGCTGCTGCTGCTGCTGCGGTTGCTTCTGTCAATCTATGTACTGCTGCTGCTGCTGCTGCTGCTTGGTTTATCACTTGTGGGGCTGCAGCTGCTGCTGCCGGTGGCGACCCACTGTGTAGCTGTTGCTGCTGCTGCTGTTGCTGCTGAAGGAGGTGCTGCAGCAGCAGCTGCTGCTGAGGAAGTGGCGTACCCTTTGCCTCGAGTTGCTGCTTTGCTGCTAACTGGGGATTATGCTGCGCACTACCCAGACTTTCAGATTGAAAACAGGTCTGCTGCAGCCCTAAACCCTAAACCCTAAACCCTAGCGCCTTATCATTGGCTTCAGTGGGACTTGTCTTGGGCATACTGGCAGGAAGCCCCTGTCGTTTATTGCTGCTGCCGCCCCGTTGACTGAACCTGCTGCTGCTGCGGCCTTCGCTGCTGCTGCTGCTGCTGCTGCTGTTGCTGCTGCAGGAAGCAGGCTTTGCGCGCTTGGACGGAGTCGCTATTTGAGCAGTTCCCTCAGGACTGCGGCGCTGCAGGCGAAGCAGAACTGCCTCCGCAGCAGCAGCAGCAGCAGCAGCAGCAGTGCATGCAGCTGCTGATGGTGGCCGGCAACAACGACATGCCCGAAGACTATTTAGTCCCCTCTTCTCGACCTGGCTGGTCTCAGTTTCTTTTTGATCTTTGGAAAAAGGCCCTGCCTTCCGATGCAGCCACCAAGGAGGTTAGCTGCTGCTGCTGCTGCTGCTGCTGCTGCTGTTTTTGCCGCTCCTGCTGCTGCTGTTCCTGCTGCTGCTGCACTTGCGGCTGGTGAAGTTGCTTTTGCTGTTCCTGCGGATGCCTGTGCTGCTTGCTGCGTCACTTGCTGCTGTGCATGCTCGTTTCGCTGCACTTCCGCTGCTGCGTCAGCGCTTGTGCTGCTGCTGCTGCTGCTGCTGCTGCCTAAATCTTGCTGCACACGCCGGCAGAGCACCCCCACGCCTGCGGCGCTACATCTATTGCCCAGAGTAGCAAACACCACTCAGCAGCAGCAGCAGCAGGACTAGCAGCAGCAGCAGCAGCAGCAGCAGCAGCAGCAGCAGGTTGCGTGTGTGGTCTCAGTCGTTTTTGCGGGGCCTTTACTATTCGGCGACTTTGCGGGAACAACCAGGAGTTAGGGTTTTGTGTTTAAACACCGTTTTGTATTCTGTAGCAGCTCGGGAGCTGATTAGCAGCAGAAGACGCTTCAGCAGCAGCAGCAGCAGCAGCAGCAGGAGGCCCTCGCGATGCAGGCGCAGGAAGCAGCGGGGCCCCACAGCGGCTGCAGCAGCAGCAGCGAAAGAGACACCGGAAAAGGAGACAAGAGATGAGCTGCTGGAGGCCCTCGAGGAGACAGGAGAAACGAAAGAAGCAAAAGAGACAACAGAGACAGACACAGCAGCAGCAGCAGCAGCAGCAGCAAATTCCCAAACAGAGACCGAAGCAGACTCCTTGCTGCAGCAGGAGACAGAAGCAGCCCCTTCAGCGGAGGCAGCAGCAGAAGACGCCCAAGATGCAGCAGAAGAGGACGAGAAAGACCCAGGTTAGCGCCGGGGACTTAGGGTTTAGGGTTTAGGGTTTAGGGTTTAGGGTTTAGGGTTTGGGGTTTTGGCGCTTGAGTGTGCTCACAGCTGGCCAGTTCGCGTGGATGCGCCACCAGCTGCAGGAGGCCAGAGCGAAGGGGCAGCAGGTTTGTCTAGTACCCTAATGGGGGCCCCAGTGGGGGTCCCAATGCGGGCCCCTGGGGGCCCCAGTGGGGGCCCCAATGGGGGCCCCGGGGGGCCCCTCAAGGGCCCCTAATTGGGGCCCCCATCGAGCCCCTAGGGCCCCCGAGGGGCCCCAGAGCCTTCAGGGGCCCCCCGGGGCCCCCAGGGACGTAGGGGTTTTGAGGTGTCTGTTTCTGCTGCAGTGTTCTGTTTGCTGCCAGCTGGGTGACCTGCAATTAGGGTTTGGGGTTTAGGGTTTAGGGTTTGGGGTGCTGCTGCAGGTGGTGATTGCTGGACATGTCCCCCCTGGCTTTGACTCTCATTTGGGCCTCGGCTTTTCGCAAATGCGTCTCTGGGTTTCCAAATACACAGAACTGTAAGTGCTACCCTAAGGGGCCCCTAGGGGGCCCCCCAGGGGCCCCCCAGAGACCCCCCAGGGCCCCCCAGGGGGCCCTCCCGGGGGCCCCCCGGGGGGCCCTCCAGGGACTTCTCGGGGGCTTTCGGGGGGCCTCAGAGTCCCCTGTGGCAGCTCAAGGGGGCCCCAGCGGCAGTTGCTGTTTCTGGGTCTCTGGGGAATTTAGGGTTTAGGGTTCAGGGTTTCAAGTGTAGGGTTTACGGTTTAGGGTTTAGGGTCAGAGCTGAAAGGTTTCTGCTGCCTGCAAGCGACTGGGGCCTGTCCGCCTGCGTGCTGCGAAGCACATCCCCTTGACTTTCGCTGCCGCTCTCCTTGCTGCTGCTGCTGCGCTGCTGCTGCTGCTGCGGTGCTGCTGCTGCTGCTGCTGCAGCTACCGGGCGCTGGTCTCGGAGTTCGCGGATGTCATAGTAACTCAGACTTTTGGGCACATCCATTTTGGCCGCGTGAGGGCCCTGGTACCCCCTGGGGCCTCGGGGGCCCCCCCCCCCAGTATGGGGGCCCCCCCGCACCCCACAGACCCTCTGGGGGCCCCCTCACCCTCCACAGCCATTCTGGGGGCCCCCGCACTGTCCCCTATTCACGGCAACAACCCCGCAGTTGCTGCTCTGGTCTACAGAGCTGCAGCAGCAGAAGAGAGGGGCCCCCAGGGGGGCCCCCTGGTGCTGCAGGACTATGTGCAGTACAACCTGCCCCTGTACGGCTTCGTGGGGCGGGCCTCCCGGGGCCCCCGCGGGAGCCCCCCGGGGGGCCCCCAGGGGGGCCCCCTTGGGGGCCTCCGAGAGCCCCGGCCGGACTTCTCGTTTGAGTTCAGCCTGCAGGAAACCTTTGGGCCCTTCTTGGGGCCCCGAAAGTGGCTGTGGCGTCCGGGGCTCTCGCGGCGCGGGGGCCCCCCCCCAGGGGCCCCCAGGGGGGCCCCCGGGGGGGCCTCCGGGAGGGTTGATGGGGCCCTTGCTGCTGCTCTCGGGGCCGCTGTGAGAAGGTCCCCAATGGTATTTGCTCTCTATGAATGGCATGCAGCAGCAGGGGGCCTCAGGGCCCCCAGCCGCGTGCGCAGCTGCGAAATGTTGGCTTTGACGCAGCAGGAACTGGAGGCCTGCTTGAGCGCGGAGGCGTAAACCCTAAACCCTAAACCCTAAACCCTCGGAGGGGAGGCCGGCGTGCCCCGCAGCAGGGCGGGGACCGCGGCTGGCCCTCCACGGGACTTTTTGTTCATTTCTTCCGCGTTTGCTGAAACTCTCTAAGGGCCAGACCCGCAGCAAATAGTACGGAAGCAGCAGCAGCAGCAGCAGCAGTAGTAGTTGCACCTGCAGCAGCAGTAGTTGCTGTGGTGGCGGTAGTAGTAGTGGAGGCGGCAGTAGTAGAAGAAGCAAAGAAGGCGACGGCAGCAGCAGAAGCAAAAGCGGTACCAAAAGCAGCAGCAGCGGCGGCAGCGAGAGCAGCAACAACCTGCTGATGGATTTCTGCCCCGCTTCTGCAGAAAATGCAGCAGTTACGTTCTTGCTGCTGCGTCTCGTGCTGCTGCTGCTGCAGCAGCAGCAGAGGCCCTTTGATCCAGCCGACGTACATAAACAACAAATAGGGATTTGCTCCTCTACAGAAATGGTCTCGACCCACTTGGCTGTCTCGGCCGCGACAAAATACTAAACATGCAAATTGAAATAAGTTTGTTTTGTATTATTTAATTATTACTTTTTTATTGCATCGTTTTTCTTATTTTAGTGTTTCATTAAGATGGAAATCGGGGCAGGAGCAAAAGCGCTCGCAGGCGGGTGGCTGTGTGCACCGGAGCTCCTCTTTGGAGTTTCTTGGACCTTTGAGTTCTGTTTTTTTGCATTAATTAATTATTATTTTTAATTTGAAAGAAAAGGCAAAAGAAGGAAGCTAAGAAGGAGTTGAGGGAAGCAGGCTAGTGGACATCTGCACGTCAGACGCTTTGTGGGGCCGAGACACCGCCACTTCCAATCTGTTCCCTCGTAAGACTATTTTCCTCCGTCTTTCGGGGAAGAAATTCATATAAATAATTCATTTGCGTCAGCTGCATCAAATAGACTCTCGAAGGAGTCGCAGAACATTATCAGCCTGCTGCTGCTGCTGCTGCTGCTGCTGCTGCTGGTCAGCCTGGCCCAGGTCTCGATTCAGCGGAGGAAACCAGTGGCTCTGTTAGTTTTCTTCGCTTTTTTCTTGTCCAGTGCATTAATATTTTGTTGCTTTTCAAATTTAGTAATTCAGTTAGACATTTGAATCAAGTTTCTCCCCGGTAGAAGACAAGAGCAGCGGAGCTCTCGCGCTGTGTGCAGAAGCAGCAGCATCGCCCAGCGGGGTCTCGAGCTGCTGCTCCTTCCCTTCAGGCTCCCAGCACTAGTTTTTTCTGAATTTGTTTTATTAATTTGTTTTATTAATTTGTTTTTTGCGAAAACGAGCCGTTTGTGCTCTCAACTCGCTGCTCCCTTCTGCCCATTCAAGATTCCAAGGTGCGTTTCTGAACTCCGCAGCAGGTGCAGCGTCAGGTGGAAAGCGAGCAATTTGGCGGCACACTTTTGGAATTTTTGCATTTTTGAAAAGGAAAAGAGTTTCGCTTTTCAATTATTTCATCTTTTTGCTGCCAAGTTGATGCATTCCATGCGGATCGGGCCGCTACAGCTCGCTGTCTAGGGGTGCCGCTCACAGCCCACAGGCGCCTCAGACCAGCTAGTTAGTACTTCAGCTCGCTGCACAACTTTGTTTCTCCTCCTCCAGGCTTTTATATCTTCACTTTCCTGTTGCTGCTGTTGCTGCTGTTGCTGCTGCTGCTGCTGCTGTTGCTGCCGCTACTGTTGCTGCTACTGTTGCTGCTGCTGTTGCTGCTGGTGCTGCTGCTGTGTCTGATGTCTCAGACTTTCTGCTGAAAATGGCCGTCGCCGACAAGACCCCCACTTGGCGTCTTCTCTACGGCGAAGAGCCGCAGTATGTTCGCCCGGAGACTCGCGTGTACCTGGGAGGCATTCCGAGCTGCTTGACGGAAGTCAGCAAACCCTAAACCCTAAACCCTAAACCCTAAACCCTAGGGAGGCAGTGGGGGCGGGCGGGGGCGGTTGCCGCCTCCTCGCTAGCCAGTGCTTAACACGCCCCCGTCCAAACCCTAGACCCTAAACCCTAAACCCGTGGAGGGGGGGCAGAAGCGTGCAGTGGCAGTGGGGCGGGAGAACAGGCGAGGGTTTAGGGTTTAGGGTTTAGGGTTTGGGGCTGCTGCGCAGGCGGACCTGGAGCACCGGCTGCGGGCCATCTACGGGCCCGTGCAGATATATGTTTATATGAGAGCTGAAAACGATAATGGCTATGCTTGGGTAGGGTTTAGAGGCGAAGAAAGTGTAAGGAGGGCCCTCAGTCTTGCTGCAGAGCGGCGGCAGCAGCAGCAGCAGCAGCAGCAGCAGGAGCAGCAGGAGCAGCAGGAGCAGCAGCAGCAGCAGCAGCAGCAGCTCAAGGCAGGCCTCCAGGGGCCCCGCAAGGGCGTCCAGGAGGGTACCCAGGGGCCCCAGAAGGGCCCCCGAGGGAGCCCCCAGGAGGGGCCCCTCAAGGGCGGCCTGGGGGGCCCCCAGGAGGGGCCCCTCAAGGGTTTTGAGAAGCCCCAGGGGCCCCCCGGGGGCCCCCGCGAGGCAGGGGGAGAGTCCCCTGCAACGAAGGGGGTGGGGGACGGTGACGCAGCAGCAGCAGCTGCTGCTGCTGCTGCTGCTTCCTCCGAAGAACTGGTGGAGAAGCTGCAGCAAAAAATTGCGAAGCAGGGGCAAGGGGAGCAGCAGAAGCAACAAAAAGAGAAAATTAAAGATTTAAAAAGTGAAATTGAAAAACCCAAAGTTCCCCTTGCAAAGGAAAGCCCCAGAACTGCACAAGCAGGGGGAAAGGCCTGAAGAAGCAAAATTACAACCCCACCCTGACGGTGTTGTGTTGCTGTTTTGCCTGCTGCTGCTGCTGCTGCTGCTGCTGCAGCGGCGGGCAATTTGCACAATGCGCGTGGAGTATTTCGTTTTGGTTGTTTTGAATAATTTAATTAAAAGTAATTGTGAAGATAAATGGAAGTGAATTCGTTCAGTGGGACAGAGGCGTGTTCCGTTTCCCAGTGTCGCTGGGGTGTACGTACACCCGAGCTTTGGTTGAGCGGGCGGCTTTTCGTGTTCGGGTGTATGTACTGGCGAGGTTTCGAGCTTTTTGCTTTTTATTGAGAATTAAAAACAAAGATTTTTGCTGCCGAGGAAAGGCTCGCGCAGCTGCCGGGTGTATGTACACCCCGCTGTCTTTCGTGAATTCGCAAACGCAGTGCTTTTGAATGTCTGGACAACTGTGCTGGGGCGCAAGGCTAGCTAGCTAGCTAGCTAGCTAGCTGCCTAGCTAGCTAGCTAGCTGCCTAGCTAGCTAGCTAGCTGTCTAGCTTCTGTCTAGCCCGCCAGACATCAAATTTGTGGCGGTCTGGCGGTTTAGCTAGCTGGAAATCAAGCCAGCTAACTGATAAGCTAGGAGACACTGTAGCTAGCTAGCTAGCTGGGTAGCTAGCTAGCCGTAGCTGTGGCGGGCTATATTGGGCTGCAGCAGCAGGCGCAGCGGCTAGGGTTCCGGTGTGGGGCCAAGTGCAGCAGCAAAAGGGGAGGTAGCGGCAGCAGCACAGAAGGTGTTTATAGAGAACTTCTTAACTGAATGCATGCAATTAGATTTGAACTTCTTTGAAGACTAGAATATAAAGCTGCATGCGTTTGAAGAGGCTCGGAGTTCTTTGGGGCTAACTGGGCTTACGTGTACTGTTACTATTGCTGCAGCCTGCTGCGTACTCAGCAGCAGCAGTCTAAGTATCTAGCTAGCTAGCTAGCTAGCTCTGTTTGGCTGATTAGCTAGCTAGCTAGCTACGTGGCTGGCAAGCTAGCTAGCTAGCTAGCTAGGTTGCTATCTGGCTGGCAAGCTAGCTAGCTAGCTATTTGGGTAGCTACCTAACTAGGTACCTCCCTCGCTACCTAGCTAGCTGCCTAGCTAGCTGCCCAGCTAGCTGCCCAGCTAGCTGCCTAGCTAGCTGCCCAGCTAGCTGCCCAGCTAGCTGCCTAGCTAGCTGCCCAGCTAGCTGCCTAGCTAGCTGCCCAGCTAGCTGCCCAGCTAGCTGCCTAGCTAGCTGCCCAGCTAGCTATCTAGCCACATCTCTAGCTAGCACTTGGAGCATTTAGAAGGAAATAGATTTATTTTTAGCGAATAAATATATTTATTATTAGTGCACATCCGCAGAGAGAGAGAGCTATCTTTGAATATACTGGTAGCACGGGCACGTGTCGTTGCTGCTGCTGCTGCTGCTGCTGCAGCAGCGGCTGCTGCTGCTGCTGCGGCAGTAGCTGCAGCAGCAGCTGCAGCAAGGCCGCGCGCAGCAGGCGTGTGCTGCTGCTTTCAGGCGACAGTGTCTCCTTTTGAATTGTCTCTTTTGGCAGAACTTGCAGAATTTATTTTTGCTTTTTGTCACTAAAGGGGGCCCCTGCTGCTGCTGGCTGTCAAGGCCCAAAGGGGGGCCCCTGGGGCCCCTGAGCTGCTGCTGCTCCCCAGGCGCTGTCTGCTGCTGCTTGTATTGCTGCTGCTGCTGACGGAGACACCCGAAAAGCTTTGCTGAAGAAGGGGGGGCCCTCGCCGTCTGCAGCAGCAACGAGCTGTCTGTACACCTCGCGGCTGTTGCAGCACGGGCACGGGCCTGCTGCTCCCCCCGCTGCTGCTGCTGCTGCTGCTGTTGCTGAGTGCGCGCAGCTGCTGCAGCCCCCGAACAGCAGCAGCGCGAGAGCCCGGGTGTCTGTACACTCCAAAGCCACCCACAAACCCTCCCGCAGCTCCCGGCCCATTTGGCCTTTTCCCCAGAGCATTTTTCCCAGGTAAAGAGCAGCAGGGGGAGCTCCCTCAGCAGCAGCAGCAGCAGTTGCTGCTGCTGCTGCTGCTGCTGCTGCTGCAGCGGGCGCGCTGCTGGGGGGCTTGTCTTCTGAGGTGTACGTACACCCCACAGACGCATGCACTCCTGTCTCTTCTGCTGTCACTTTTAAAAAGCCCTCACAAGGGCCCCCGAGACGCACAGCGCGCATTGCCACCCTGCTGCTGCTGCTTCTGTTGCTGCTGCTGCTGCTGCTGCTGGCGGGCTGCTGCTGCTGCTTAAGCAGCTTCAGCAGCTGCTGCAGCAAGGCCTTGCTGCTCTGCTGCTGCTGCTCGCCCCCTGCGCTCGAGGTGTCTGCAGCGCCACTCTTGAGGCCATCCTCTAGCCACAGAATAAGCTTCTGCTGCTGCTGCTGCTGCTGCTGCCGCTGCTGCTGCTGCTGCAGCAACCTGATTGACTCCCAGTCACGCTGTGCGCTGCTTTGAACAGCAATGGAGGATAGCATTGCATGCAGAGGCTCAGCGTCAGCTGCCTCGCCAGCAGCAACGCGCAGCAGCAAGCTGCTGCTGCTGCTGCTGCTGTTATTGCTGCTGGTGCCGGTGTTGCTGCTACTGTTGCTGGTGCTGATGCCGGTGTTGCTGCTGCTGTTGCTGGTGCTTATGTCGGTGCGGCTGCTGCTGTGTCCTCTGCCGTCGTTATCCCCTTGAGGATCGCTGCTGCTGCTGCTGCTGATAAGGAAGCTGCTGCTGCTGCTGCTGCTGGGACGTCCACTCTTTGGAAGCATCTGTACAGCTCGTTGAGCCAAGGCAATTACAAGGGCCTGCTGCAGCAACAGCTGCTGCTGCTGCTGCAGTTGCTGCCTCTTCCTCTTTAGAGGTACTTGTGCTGCTGCTGCTGCCTGAGCCTCGCGCAGCAGCAGCAGCAGCATTGGGTCATCCTGCAACAAACTGTGCCACCGGCCTGTTACGGGCATGCTGCTGCTTCTACCAAACGCATACTGCTGCTGCTGAAGACCACCATCTTCTTGCTGTTGCTGCTGCTGGTGTTGCTGCTGCTGCTGTTGTTGTTGCCGCCGCTGCCGCTGTTGCTGCTGCTGCTGCTGCCAGCTTGCAAGGAGGTCTACGGGAGAGGGCAGCCCTACAACGGATCGGTGTAGCGCCTTGGAGTCGCTGCTGCTGCTGCTGCTTGTGCTGCTGCTGCTGCTCGTGCTGCTGCTGCAGCTGCGGTTCAGTATGACTCCCTCCACAGTGCTGCGCTTCACAGCTGTCAGCAGCACAACTGTCCCTCTAGCAAAAGCATCCAACAGAAGCGGATGGGCCACCAGCAGCACCCCAGGACGAAGGCTGCTGCTGCTGCTGCTGCTGCTGCTGCTGCTGCTGGTTTCTTTGGAGAGGGAGAGGTCCGCTCCTAAGAGCCGTTCCACAGGAATCGGCTTGAAAGCCCGCGTGAGCCACTTTTGTTGCTGCTGTTGCCGCTGCTGCTGCTGCTGCTTCTGCTGCGGTTGCTGCCGCCGCTGCAGCAGTATCTTCGAGCGCCCCTGCAGCAGCTTGTCTGCAGCACGGTGCAGCTCTACGCGGGACGGGAGCCTGGGACTAGGGGGCCCCCCTTGGGGCCCCCCTTGGGGGCCCCCTTGGGGCCCCCCTGTGAAGGTTTTATGTTGCATACTTTCAGGTTCCTCGAAGCCTGCTCGGGCTTGAATGAAGCGAGAGAGATGCGTTTGCTGCTGCTGCAGCAGCAGCAGCTTCTCCGCCTGCAGCGCGCGCAGCAGCTGCTTTCCCAGCTGCAGGACCTGCTGGGTGCTGCTGCCTGCAGCAGCAGCAGCAGCAGCAGCGTGAGTAGTTCCTGCTGCAGCAAGCTCTGCAGCTGCGGCTTCCCCCGCCGTAGCAGCAGCAGCTCCTGCTGCTGCTGCTGCTGCTGCTGCTGCTGACTGCAGGCCCCTTGCTAGGGCCACCTCGAGATCTCCCAAAGTCCGCAGAGCCCCCAGCAGCGCCCGCGCGGTGTCTTCAGCAGCAAGCAGCAGCACCTGCTGCTTCGCAGCACTTAGCCAGCGGCAAGCAGCAAAGAGAGCGTCGGGGAGGCAGTCTGCTGCTGCTGCTGCTGCTGCTGCTGCTCCCCTCGCTGCTGCCGCTGCAGCTCCCGCTGCCTTTGGTGGTGGTAGTGCTGGAGCTTCCAGCGCTGCTGCGGCTGCAGCTCCTGCTGCTGCTGCCGGTGCTGCTGCTGCTGCAGGCCTTTCTGACAGCACTGGTGCTGGTGCTGCTGGATCTGCTGCTGCTCGTGCTGCTTTTGCTCGTGCTGCTGCTGTTAAAGGCCCCCGTGCTGCTGCTGTTGCTTGCTGCGCTAGCAGCTGCTGCTGTATCTGCCTCCTTACGTATCTCGTGGCCATTCGCGTGAGCAGCTGCGGGAGCTGCAGGACAGCAGCTCCTGCTGCTGCTGCTGCTGCTACTGCGGGTGGTCTCCCGGATGTAGCTACTTTCGCTGCTGCTGCTTGTGCTGCTGCTTGTGCTGCTGCTGCTTCCCCTATTAGCTCTGACTGCAGCGCAGCTCGCACTATAGCTGGGGAGAAGTGCGTGGCTTCCCCCCAGACGACGCGCAGCAGCAGTGCGGCCTGCTGCTGCAGCTGCTGGCTGTCTGCTGCTGCAGCGCTGCGTGCTGCTGCTGTGCGGGCCCTCAGGCTCTCCGCCGAGAGCCCAGCAGCAGCAGCAGCAGCAGCAGCAGGAGGCCTGAGAGCAGCCAGCAGCTGCGGGTGCTCAGAGAGGAAACGGAGCTGCCGGCAGAGGCGCCGGAGGGAGGGCAGCAGCACAGGAGACACACGGGGATCCTGCTGCTGCAGGACCGGCAGTTGCTGCTGCTGCAGCGCCAGCAGATGCTGCTGCTCCAGCCCGTCTGGCGGGCTGCTGCACGTGAAGATCGTGCAGCCCTCAGGGGCAGAGCTGCCGCGCCGTCGGCTGCTCCGGTGGCTGCGCCTTCCTCTGCTGCTGCTGCTGCTGCTGCCGCTGCCGCTGCTGCTGCTGCAAGCAAGGCGCTTAGCTGTACATTCGGGGTTGCTTGCTGCAGCGCGCCAAGTGCTGCACGACACAGTGTTGCTGCTGCTGCTGCTGCCTCCCGAGAAGGACGCGAGGGAAGCTGGAGGCGCTTGACAAAGTGGCGCTGCAGTGGAGCAGACTGGAGCTGCAGCAGAACGTGCTGCTGGTGCTAGTGCTGCGCTGCAGCTGCAGCTGCGCAGCGGCCGCTGGCCCAAGTCAGAAATGGCCTGCCCCGTGCGAGCTGCTGTAACGCCTAGGCGCAGCATTCTCTTGAGGCCTGTGGGGAGAGCAGCAGGGGGAGCGGGTGTTGCAGCAGTGGCTGTGTGTTTGCTGCTGGTCCATTGCGAGCTGGGGGCCGCGGAAGTTGAATTGTCGACACTGGGCCTCAGAATTTTCCCTTTAAAAGCATATTTTAAAATTCAAATATGCTTTTAAAACTCAAGCACCTAATTTTGGGCCTTGAGGCGGCGCGATTCCCGCGGAAACGCGCCACCTGAACTTGCTGCTGCAGCAGTCACGGCGCTCGTGCACGAGGGTTTCGGAGGAACACGCAAAGAAAGGAGGAAATTGAAAAGAAACACTGCAAAATAAAAAGAAATGAACCAAATGGGGCTCTGCATGCGCTGTTCTCCCCAGACTCAGCCTTGTTCAAGTTTTGCAAACCGCCGGAAAAACCTGAACTATCCGCCCGCTGTACCAGACAGCGTCTGTCTGGAAGTGCAGATCACGACTTTAAATTTAAGCTGCAGAAAAATGCATTATCTGCAGTTGCTGATGATCACTTCATAAAAAAGAAGAAACAAACAACACGGCGTGTTCAGTGATCGGCTGCCGCCAACCCGCGTGTACACTCAAAAAAGTATGTTGCAAGAAGCAGTTATTCCGCGGGAAACTTTACTTTACCCGAGTCTGACCTCTTCAGATTTGTTTTAATTTAATCTAATTTTATTTGGAGCCGAAATTTTCCCAGATTAGGCGAGAAAAAGTGGAAATTTCCGCAATCGAGCGGCGGCTCTGCACGGTGCCGTTCCGAATCCACGGAAACCAATTTGAAACGGCTGCGATTTGCAGTTTAAGACGGCATAAAGCCCGAAACTCTCGATTATAATGAACTACAAACCCTTTTGAAATCTTATTTTTAAAAGATTAGATTATTTATGGCTCTTTCTTGCGCAGTGCTGGCGCCGAGAGCGAGGCAGCGCTGCTGCTGCGATTCGGCTGTTTGCGCTGCAGCACTTCCCTCCTAAGGCCCCCATTTATTCTTTAAAACTATTTTATAAATACTATTTGCTTCAGGAACTCCTTTAAGGGCGCCTTCCCCGCAGGCAGCTGCAGCAGGACGCGCAGCAGGGCAGCAGCGCAGCAGCCATCGACTGTACATACACCTTTGTGTGTCTGAGAGCAGCAGCAACACTCCACTAAATCTGCAAACACTTTAATATCTTTTTAAAGGCCAGAGTCCTCCCGCTTTGCTGCTGCTTTTAAAACAGCCAGAGGCCAGTTCTGCAACAGGCAGTGCTTAGAGAGCCGGCTTTTGTGCCGTTTTTGACCTTAGAGGCCAGCAGCCCAGCGAGACCCCTAGTGCAGCAACAGCAGCAGCAGCAGCAGCAGCAGCAGCAAGTGAAAGGGGCCAAAGCAGCAGCGCAGGCGCAACAAGGCCCTCTGGCCCCTGAGGCCTCTAGTGTTGAATTGTTGAATTTGCCTTTTTGCTTCTTCTAGAGAAAAGGCCGAAGCAACTGAGCAGCAACTAGCTGCTGCTGCTGCTGCTGCTGGCTCGGGAGGGAGGCGCCGCAGAAGGGACACAGAGTCACTGAGACGGCAGCTCGCAGCATCAGCAGCAGCAGCAGCAGCAGCAGCAGCAGCAGCAAAGGCCAAGGCTTTGCTTCGGGCGGAAGGGCTGCGGGGGTTTATGGGTGCCGGGGGCTGGAGTGGGGAGAAAGGCAGAGAGCCAGGGGATCGGGGAAGGTTTTGCTGCGTCTTTCTGCTGCAGCAGCAGCAAAGAGCTGCAGCAGCAGGGGATGTGTTCCCCCGCGGCCGCGTGTGCCTGGAGCGCTGCTGCTGCTGCTGCTGCTGCTGCTGCTGCGGTGGCAGCAGCGCAGCAAAAGGAAAGCTGGGGAGACACCGGAAGCGAGGCGTTGCTGCTGCGCAGGGAGCTCGCGCTGCTGCAGCAGCAGGCCAGTTAGCTGCAGCAGGGTTGTAAAGGCTAGCTGGGCAATTAAATTGGCAGCAGTTGAGCGAAATATAATTAATTATTTGGAAAAAAACACACGGAAAGAGAAAGGGCAAGCTAAGCGGGCCAAGGCGGTGCAGCAGCAGCAGCAGCCTTTGCAGTGTACATACACCCCGCCGCGTCGGCGGGCGCCTCCCCCCACAGGCTGGCTCTCGCCATGTTGCAGGAAGCACCACTTTTGGTTTTTCGATTCTTTTGGGGTTTCGTTTTGAATTGAAGAGCTGCGTCGTTTGCTTTTGCATTTCTAGGTCGTTTAAAATGGTGAGAGGATCCCACGGAGCTGGCTTTGGGTGCTCGCTGCTGCTGCTGCTCGTGTGCAGCAGCAGCAGCAGCCGGCGTTGTGTCTGCGGCTCGCGCCCAGCGAGACCGTGTTAGGGGAGCATCTCCGGCGCCAGCAAATTCCATTTAGTGTTTTGTTTTTAAAAGTGTATTTGGAGTTGGGTGGGGTTGCTTTGTCTAGCGCCGGTGGCTGCGGCGGCGGCGGTTTGTGTGTGTGCGTTTCGCGGGAGGTGTCGGCGTTTTGGGTAATTTTTTTTGCTTTTTTCGCCGAATGAGGGTTCAAACGGCGTTTATTTTCATTTATGGGGTTTGTTTCGGGTTTGTTTCGCGTTTTCAGGCAGAACTTCCGCAGGACGTCGCCCAGGAGCTCGCCGCGACGGCGAAGGCTCTCGCCGCCCCCGGGAAGGGTCTGCTCGCAGCCGACGAGTCGACAGGTGAGCGCGCGTGTGCGCCGGCGCAGCAGCCGCGCGCCCCTGCTGCTGCTGCTGCCGCACCCGCCGCCGCTGCTGCTGCTGCTGCTGCTGCTGCAGGGACGATAGGGAAGCGTTTCGCGTCGATTGGGGTGGAGAACACGGAGGCGAACCGGGCGGCGTACCGCGGGCTGCTGTTCAGCACCAAGGGCCTGGGGGAGTACTGCAGCGGGGCGATTTTGTTTGAAGAGACTCTGTACCAGAAGAGCCCCGAGGGGACCCCGATGGTGGAGCTGCTGCAGCAGCAGGGGATCATTCCGGGGATAAAGGTGGACAAGGGGCTGGAGACGATCCCAGGGACGCTGGGGGAGCAGGCCACGATGGGGCTGGACGGGCTGAGTGAGCGGTGCCGCAAGTACTACGAGGCGGGGGCGCGCTTCGCGAAGTGGCGAGCGGTGCTGCAGATCGACGCAGCAGCAGCGGGCGGCGCAGCAGCAGCAGCAGCAGCAGCGAAGCCCTCGCCGCAGGCCGTGGCCGAGGTGGCCCACGGGCTGGCCCGCTACGCAGCAATCTGCCAGCAGCAAAGACTCGTCCCCATAGTGGAGCCCGAGATCCTGACGGACGGGCCGCACGACGTGGCCGTGTGTGCTGCAGTGACGCAGCAGGTGCTGGCAGCAGTTTTCGCGCAGCTGCAGCAGCACAAGGTGCTGCTCGAGGGGGCCCTCCTGAAGCCCAACATGGTCACCCCGGGGGCCCAGGGGCCCCCCGCTACCCCCGAGGAGATTGCCTTCTACACAGTGCGCACGCTGTCCAGAACAGTCCCCCCGGCGCTCCCCGGAGTCATGTTTCTCTCGGGGGGCCAGAGCGAAGAAGAGGCCTCGCTCAACCTCAATGCAATGAACCAAATGGGGCCCCACCCCTGGGCCCTTTCCTTCAGCTTCGGCAGGGCCCTCCAGGCCTCCTGTCTCCGCTGCTGGAAGGGGACAGAGGCCCACCGCGAGCGGGCCCAGGGGGCCCTGCTGGAGCGCGCGCGGGCCAACAGCGAGGCCCAGCTGGGGCGCTACCGGGGGGGGGCCGGCGGCGCCGAGGCCGCCAGGTCCCTCTTCGAGAAGAAGTACATCTACTGACGCTGCTGCTGCTGCTGCTGCTGCTGCTGCGGCGCGCGGGGGCGCGGGCGGGCTTTTCGCCGCGAGATTTGCCCGCGGACTCGCGCTGCTGCTGCTGCTGCTGCAGCAGCAGCAGCAGCGGGAAGGCGCGGCCGCGGGCGCGCGCGCTGGACTTGCGGTCTGTTAAGGGCTGCGCGGGGTGCTTTCGCGCCGGCGGCGTCTAGGGTTTAGGGTTTGCGGGACTTCGGGAACCCTTTTAGGGTTTCGGGCGCTCAGAGCTTCCTAGGGTTTGCTACCTCGCCTTGGCGCGCTGCTTTAGGGTTTGCAACGCGTAGAAGCGCTGCTTTAGGGTTTGGAACGGTTGCAACCGCTGTTCTAGGGTTTACGGTGTGGCAGGCAGCCCTCGCTTAGGATTTAGGGGGTGAACTCTAGGGTTTAGGGTTTCTTGTTAGGCTGCTTTAGGGCCACTGAAATCTGTTGTGAAGCGCCGTAGGTTTATTAGGGTTTAGGGCTTTGGGTGTTGGCGCATGCACACTAGGGTTTACGGTTTAGCCGCTGCTAGGGATTGGGGAGGCCCCAGCCCGCCCCGCAGCAGATTGAGCAAATAAGTGGTTGGATGAAGTGTAATTAAAAATTAAACGTTTATTTTTAAATTGTTGTTTAAACCCGAGTCAACAAATTGTTCCGCAGGTTTTGCTGCTGCTGCTGCTAAAGCTATGGTGCTTGAGGTGCTGCAGTTGCTGCTCTGCTTCCCACTTCTTTGCTGCTGCTGCAGGGCACCTTGCTGCTGCTGACGCTGTCTTTTGCTGCTGCTTGCACTAGAGAACTCCTCAGTCAACCCTGAACGGCTGAGTGCTGCTGCTGCTGCAGTTCCTGCTGCTGCTGCCGCTGCTGTAGATGCAATGATAGGCAAGGATTGTGCCTACATTGGAGGGAGACCGCAGCAACAGCAGCAGCAACAGCAGCAACCACTGTGTTCTTGCATCCTAAGGCCTCGATGTCATATACTCTAACTAAGGGTTTAGGGTTTGGTGTCTGTAACTGCTGCTGCTTGTTTTGCTGGAGTCGCCGTTGGATTAAATATTCTGTTTTTTGTTTTTTTTTCGCTTCTATGGGTATATTCATAGGGCTGCAGCAGCAGCAGCAACTGCTGCTGCTGCTGCAACAATTGCTGCAGCGGCAGCAGCTAGTGCCGCTGCTGCTGCAACAATTGCTCCAGCGGCAGCAGCTAGTGCCGCTGCTGCTGCAGCAAATGCTGCTGCTGCTGCAGCAAATGCTGCCGATACTGCAGCAAATGAAACGAAGACGCGAGACAACTCTGTCTCCCCCGTCTCCGCCTGTGCATTGATTGGCAGCAGCAGCAGCTGCTGCAGCAGCGGTCCGCGCCGCTGCTGCTGCTGCTGCTGTCCTACCTAAGGAGCAGTAGCCACAGCACCTGTTTCCTCCTCTCCTCCTGTGCTATCTTTGAAGATACAGACCAACGCTGCTGCTGTTGGCGCTGTTGCTGCTGCTGCTGCTGCAGCAGGCTTGCGTCTGCTGCTGCAGCAAAGAAGACTCGAGGGCCACCACGCTGAAGTCTTCGCTGCGTCACCCGTGCTGCTGCACCGCAGCAGCAGCAGCAGCTGCTGCTGCTGCTACATCGCACGGACACAAATCCACCCTTCCTGCACCGGTCCGCCTCTCCTACCGCTGTTGTTTGTCGCCGCAGCAGCTGCTGCTGCTACCGCAGCTGCTGCTGCGCCAACTGCTGCTGCTGCTGCGAGAAGCCAGCAGCAGCCAGCAGCCCCACCGCTTGCGCCACCGCCCGCGCGCGCGCGCCTCCCCTGCTGCCGCGGCGCCCCCGCCCCCGCCTCCCCCCCGCCGCCGCCGCTGCTGCTGCTGCTGCTGCTGCTGCTGCTGCAGCTGCTGCTGCAGCTGCTGCTGCAGCTCAGTTGGCGCCCCTGAGGACGCCGAGGGCCTCGTCGATCTTGCTTTTGAGCTGGGCCTCGCTCTCGAGGAGAATTAGCAGCTCGCTGTTGTCCATTTCCAACATCATTCCCGTAATTTTGCCAGCAAGTTCGGGCTGGTGGCGAGCGATTAGGGGAAAGAGCCTCTCGCCCAGCATTTGCTTCTGCAGCGAGGGCTGTGCTGCAGCAAGAGCTGCAGCAGTGAGGGGGGCGTCGGGGGAGAGGAGCATGTGGGCTGCTGCGTCGAGCTGCTGCTGCTGCGGGGCGGCGGCGGCGAGGTGCAGCTGCTGCTGCTGCTGCTGCTGCTGCTGCTCCAGCCGCGGGTTCCGCACCTGCGGCGTGAACTTGAAGGAGCCGCCGCCGGGCATTTGCTGCTGCTGCTTCAGCAGCTGCTGCTGCTTCGCGCCGCTGCTCGCCGCGCCGCCGCGGCCGCCGCGGTGGCCGGGCGGCCCGCGCTGCTGCTGCAGCATGGGCTGCTGCTGCTGCTGCTGCTGCAGGGAGGCCTGCAGCGCGGCGGCCGCGGCCACCGCGGACTGCGGCCCGTAGATGTGCTGCAGCGCGGCCGCGGGCGCGAGCCCGCGCTGCAGCGCGAGGCCCTGCTGCTGCTGGAAGTGCTGCTGCTGCTGCTGCTGCCTCCCCGCCCACGGCAGCATGGCCATGTGCCCCTGCGGAGGGTACAGCACGGGCCTCTGGGGGTACGCAGCAGCAGGGGGCACCCCGGGGAGCGGGGGCCCCGGGGGCCCCGCCGCCGCCGCAAAGCCCACGGGCGGGGGGGGCCCCCCGGGCACCAGGGGGCCCCCGGGGGCCCCCCCCTGCGCGCGCACCGGGGGGGGCCCCCTGAAGCGCTGCTGCAGCCGCTGCAGCCGCTGGTCCCGGCGCTCCGCCAGCCCCGTGTAGAGGGGCTTTCCCTTGACGTACTTCAGGTGCATTTCGGAGACAGCTCTTGTGGCATCTTCAGGGTTTGTGAAGCAGACAAACCCAAACCCTCGCGACAAACCCTTCTCGTCCCGCATGACCTTCACGCTGCTGGTGGGCCCGAAACCCTCGAACAGCTCCTGCAGCTTCGCGTCGTCTATACTCTCATCTAGGTTTTTCACGTAGAGGTTTACTCCCCGGTACTTGTCTCCGCGTTCCTGCTGCTGCTGCTCGTAGCGCTGCCGCAGCGCAGCAGACCGCTGCGCCCGCGTCTGGTGCGGCCCCACGAACAGCACCATCTCCTCGCCGCCGCCGCTGCTGCTGCCTGCTGCTGCTGCTGCTGCTGCTGCTGCTGCTGCTGCTGCTGCTGGCGGCGTCGCGCTGCTCGCCGCGGTGCCGGCGGCGCCGGAGGCCTCCGCCGTGCCGTTCGGCGTGCTGCTGCTGCTGCCGGTCGTGGCCGCGTCGTTGCTGCTGCTGCTGCTGCTGAGGGCGCCGTTGGCTGCTGGGGCCTCCCCCGCCTCCCGCGCGTCCGCCGCGGCGGCCGCGGCGTCCCCCGCCTGCTGCTGCTGCTCCCCGCCGCCGGCGCCGCCGCCGCTGCTGCTGCTGCTGCTGCTGCTGCTGTCGTCCTTGAAGCCGTGGGCGTTGACGACGCGGCCGTTGAGGCTGTCGACGCAGGCCTTGGCGGCAGCGTGCTGCGCAAAGTTGCAGAAGGCGAAGAGACGGCCCTTGGGGTCTTGGCGGAGGACGAGGCTGGTGATGTCTCCGAAGGGAGCGAGGAGGGGACGGAGGGCGTCCGGGGAGCCCCAGCAGGCGGGGATGTTCTTGAGGTAGACGTTGGTGAACCTGCTGCTGCTGCTGCTGCTGCCGCCGCTGCCCTCGCGCTCGCTGCGCGTGACGAAGGGCCCCACGTACACAGTCTTGCCGCCAATCAACATGCCGTTGACCTTCTCAATGGCGCTGCGCGCGGAGGCCTCCGTCTCGTAGTGCACGAAGCCGTAGCCCCTGCTTCTGTTGAACTCGTCGACGCCCACTTTGCAGCTCAAGATGTTCCCGAACAGCGAAAACGTGTCGTACAGCGCCTTGTTGTCGATCGACTTGTCCAGGTTCTTCACGAACACGTTCCCCGCGCCGCTCCGCCGCAGAGACGGGTCCCTCTGGCTCCACATGATCCTGCACGGCTGCCCGCGAATCAGCGCGAAGTTCAGCGCGTCCAGCGCCCGCTCCGCGTCTCCCAGCGACTGGTAGTTCACGTACGCGTAGCCCAGCGACCGCCGCGACACCGAGTCTCTGCACACGCGGATGGAGGTCACGGGGCCCACGGCGTTGAAGACTTCGAAGAGCATGGCTTCCGTGACTTCGGGGTGCAGGTCTCCGATGTAGAGCGAGGGCGAGACGTAGGTGGGGTGCGGGCCCGCTCCCGCTCCCGCTCCCGCTCCCGCTCCCGCTCCCGGGCCCGTCGCCGCGGCGCTGCCGGCCGCCGGCGCCGCGCCCGCGCCCGCGCCCGCGCCCGCCGCGGGCTGCTGCTGCGCGCGCGGGGTCGCCGGCGCCTGCTGCGCGCCGGCCTGCGCTGCTGCTGCTGCTGCTGCTGCTGCTGCTGCTGCTGCTGCGGCGGGGGGGGCGGCCGCGGGCGCGGCCGGGGCGGGGGGGGGCGGCGGGGTGGCGGGGGGCGGCGAGGGGGCGCCGCCGTCGAGGGAAGGCGCCGCGGGAGGCGACAGCGCGCCCGCCGACATCTTCTTCCGCTGATTTGGGGTTTGGGGTTTGGGGTTTGGCGAAGCTCCGGGCGCGCGGCGCGGCTGGCGGCACGGGCGAGGCGGGACGAACCAGGACACCGAGACGCGCACGGACAGACGCACAGCAACAAACGGCGGAAGGCGCTAAGAAACGGAGACAGAACAGAGAGCCTGTGCGCAGAGAGCCCACTGCAGCAGCAGCAGCAGCAGCAGCAACTGCAACTGCAACTGCAGCACGCGCAGCGAGAGAAACTCCGGAGCAGAAGAGCCGCGCGGGGAAAGACCAGCGGCGAGGAAGAACGGGCGCAGCGCCGAGAGCTGCGGGGATGCTACGGCAGCAGCAGCAAGGGCGAAGCAGCTGCTCCAGCAGTCCGAGGCTCGCCGAGAAGCTGCTGCTGCTGCGGCGGCTGCGGCAGCTGCTGCAGAAATTCAAATACAACGCAACCCGCAACTAAACCACAGAGACAGAACCAGAGACAGATGCCAGCCAAGCCGCAGCAACTACTGCAGCACGAGTACCCCCCGAGCACCAACGCAAACCCGCAGCAGCACAAAGCAGCCCTATTTACACTTTTCTTTTTTGTTCTCAGCAAACGCAACAACAAACGCGCCCAGAAAACCTCATACCTGCCCGCAGCTGCCGCTGCTGCTGCTGCAGCAGCCCTGCAGCTGCTCCTAGAGGGGTGTGCTGCTGCTGCTGCTGCTGCTGCTGCTGCAGCCACACCGACGCCTGCTCAGCCCGCTCTACACCGCCCGCCCCGCAACCTACTACACCCTTACAACCTTTTTTTTATACACTTTTCAAACGCTTCTTTACTTCTTATTTCCATTTCCCCTTTATTTCACAAACTCTGCGCTTTTTCAAACCCATATACCCCAAACACAAACCCCCAGCCACCCCGCCCGCCTGCTTTCGCCGTACACAGAGAGCCCAGAGCAACCGCCTCGCCAACCCCGAAAAGGGCCTCTAAACTCCCTTTCTTTTCCCCTCTTTCCCGCAAATTCACTTTCTTTTTCCTTTTCACTCCATTTCCACAAAAAATGTCCCACTTTTCCCCCTAACTTCCCCCTAAATTCCACCCCCAACTCCCACCCACGCCCCGCGCCGCAGCAGCCCCGCAGTGACCTATTGCGGGGTGTACGTACACCTACGCACAACACAGCTTACGCCCTGCTGCTGCTGCTGCGGCGGCAGCTATTTCCTCCCCTTCGTTCCCTTTTAATTTCTCTTCCTCTATACTTTCTCACAGCCTTAGTCCCACGCATACAGCCCCGCACAGCAGCAGCTTCTGCCGAGCTGCGCAGCAGCAGCAACCGCTGCAGCAGCCCAGAGCAGCAACAGCAGCAGCAGCAGCTGCTGCTGCTGCTGCAGCAACATGTAACATTTTAGGTACATAATTTCAGGGAACCCGCGGCGCCCCCAAGGGAGGCGCCTAGGGGGCCTTCCGGCCGGCTGCAGCAGCACCCGGTTGCCCTACTCCCCGCACCCCAAACCCTCAACCCTAAACCCTATATGAGAGACTTGATCACATACGGGATCGGTGCCTAAAAACAGACCCGGCAAGTTCCTGAGGACCTATTCTTTGTCTAGCTGCCGCATCGCTGCTCCTCCCCTCCAAACGCTTGAAACCCTAAACGCTAAACCCTAGATTTATAAACCCTGGTTCTACACACTCGGCCTTTCTCTAGGACTGTCCCAGCGCGCGTCCCTGTATTTCAAGGGCCTCCCAAACACCCCCAAGGGTTTAGGGTTTAGGGTTTAGGGTTTAGGGTTTAGGGCTTGCGGTCGAGGGGCTTGCAAGCCTCGGGCTCCCGCTGCTCAGCAGCGTTGAGGTGTACGTACACCGCGAGAAAGAACAAAGAAAGAACTAGGCTCAAACCCTAAACCCTAGCTCTGGCTCAAACCCTAAACCCTAGCTCCGGGTCAAGCCCTAAACCCTCGTTCCAGAGACAATGGCGCTTAAGAGGTTCGCTGGGGTCTTCCTGAACCCTAAACCCTCTAATCGAAACCCTAAACCCTCAGAGCCTAATGTTTGTTGTTGCCGGGGTCCCCTCAACTAAACCAGTTGGTCTTGTCTCGCTTTAATGAACCCCCAAGGGGCCCCACAGGGGGGCCCCTAGGGGGCCCCCTTTGTAAGGGATTCCACACAGGAGGGGCTCCTCTTAGGGGCTAGAGAGTTTTCTCTATGGGGCCCCTTAGAAGGCTCTCTGTGAGGGTTAACCCCGTGGGGCTTCCCAAACCCTTCTTTGGGGCCCCTTTAGTAACCCTCTGGGGGCCCCTCTAGGGCCCCCCATGCAGCGAATTGAGGCCCTCGTGAGCCGTTGAGGGGCCCCCTTTCGTGCCCTTAAAGGGGGCCCCCGTCTACGCTGTTCCCAGGGCCCCCTATGGGGGCCCCCATGCTAAGAAGGCCCCACTTAGGGCCCACTTACGGGGTCCCCCCTAGAAAGACTTATAGGGGCTACCACTTGGGCCTCTCTGGCGGGCTCCCACTAGGGCAGGGGGCCCCCACTAGGGTAGGGGGCCCCCCAACTGGGGCTCCCAGGGACCTCCCAGTAGGGGGGCCCCCAGGGGCCCCCCTTAAGGGCCCCCAGGGGCCCCCTTAAGGGTCCCCAGGGGCCCCTAAGAGGGCCCCCAGGGGCCCCCGTCTTGGCCATGGGGTTTCTAGAGGTAATTGAAGGTTGGGGTACGACTTGAAAAATTAGTTTTGGTTTTCGATAGACAAAAATATGTATATGAATGTGCACTGTGGATAAGGGTATAGGGTTTAGGGTTTAGGGTTTAGGGTGTAGGGTTTGGAGTTGAATGCATGCAGTTGCGCGGACCCCACTGTGTGGGCACGGGGTGTACATCCACCTGACTAGGTGGGTTTTCTTTTGTGCTTTTAGCAGCACCTGCATATTTATGCTGGTGCTGAAGAAAAATAAATGACAAATGGAGCCTCTGCTGCTGTCTTTCGTGTCTTGCTGCTGCTGCTGCTGCTGCAGTTGCTGCTGCGGCTGATGCTCCTGCGTTTGCAACGAGAACAGCAAGGCAGGCTGCTGCAGCAGCAGCAGCTGCAGCAGCAGCAGCAGCAGCAGCGGGGAGGTGCGTGCTTGCTCGAGGATTTATAGAGATGGCGTTGGATTAGGGTTTTGAGGTGTATCCTCAGGTGTCCAGCCAGGCCGTAGGGGAACGACTTTGATTTGCCGGGCTCGCTGAAACAAACAAACCCTAAACCCTAAACCCTAGCGCTGGTACAGCATCCCTCAACACCTCTGCGGGCCAAAAGCCTAGCCCAAGCCCCTTCTAAAAAGAAATGAGGGAGTCAAAAAAAGAACGCTGAGGAGTCAGGGTTTAGGGCTTACGCTTTACGGTTTAGGGTTTAGGGTTTACAGTACCTTGACAACAGTGCAAACTGCTCGTATTTCCGGCAGCAGCATTAAGTCTTGGAGTTTCGTGCAGCTGAAGACAGTCTGAGACAGCTCCTTTCCAAACCTACGCGCAAACCCTAAACCCTAAACCCTAAACCCTAAACCCCAAGAGGTAGAGACAGACACTGCAGCTAACAGAGGGACAAAACCCTTAAAGCTTCTGAAACACAACTTGCGCAAGAGCAAACTGGGAATGGAAAGTTGAAACAGGGTCTAGGGTTTAGGGTTTAGGGTTTGGCATTGAGTTTAGGATTTAGGGCTAGGGTTTAGATTTGTCTAAGTAAGCAAGCTGGCTGCAGCGAGCCTTCGCCCCAAACCTCCGGGTTTAGGGTTTAGGGTTTAGGGTTTGGACCTGAGTTTGAACTTGCGGCTCAAGACCGACAGGGGAAGTCCCTGAGGGTTTGCGCGCAGCAGCTCTAGGAGACAACTTTGCAGCTCTTCGATGCTGCTGATGTAGTTTCTGCTGTTGGTCCTTTCTGGCAGCCGCTGCAGCAGCAGCAGCAGCAGCAGCAGCGGGGAATTCAGAAACAGCACATATTGCAGAAGTGCACATGCACACACACATGTATGGTGCCTGCTTTGCTGCAGCTGCTGCAGCTCCGCCGCATCTGCTGCTGCAGCTCTGCCGTACCCACTCCTGCAGCAGCAGCAGCAGCGGCAGCAGCCGCAGCAGCAGCAGCAGCACCACAACCACCACCAGCACCATCATCAGCAGCCACAGACACACCCACAGCACCACAATCAGCAGCCACATCCACAGCCACAGCAGCAGCAGCAGCCACAGCCACAGCCACAGCAGCAGCAGCAGCCACAGCAGCAGCAGCAGCAGCAGCAGGGGCCTCACGAGCATGGCCTGGACGACCTTTTTGCACTGGTTGATGGGTTTAATGACACTATTTTCGTAAGCCAAAACTTTCCACTTGGAAATGGCCAACTGCACAATGTGGCAAAGTTGTCCCAAAGAAAAAGCCCGAAAAAATGGCAAGTCCAGCCGCCGCAGGAAGCAGGCCATTCCGTACCTGCAGCAGCAACGCACAGCCCCAAAAAAGGGTTTAGGGTTTAGGGTTTAGGGTTTAGGGTTTAGGGATTAGGGATAAGGGTTTCGCGTTTGGGCAGCGTCGAATCCGGAGTTTGGGGCAATGGGAAAAAGGCGATGAATGAATTCGAAATCGAGTTCACGACCAAAGGTCTAGGGTTTAGGGTCTAATGTTTAGGGTTTAGGGTTTAGGGTTTAGAGTTTAGGCACCGTCCGCCTCCAATTCGAAGTCTGGAGCACTGGGAAAAGGCGCTGCTTTGGATGAACTCGAAAAAGCTTTCCCACATAAGTGTGGGGTAGGGATCGTTGGGATCGTTTGCATCGATCCAGCCCCGGTGGTCTGGGGGTGGCAGCAGCAAGTAGACCACTGGTTCCCTGCTGCTGCCCCCGCTGCTCCCGCTGCTGCTGCTGCTGCTGCTGCTGCTACTCACGCAGTCCACCACGCACGTGTCTTTCATCTGCTTGTAGTAGCTCAGCTGTACAGACACCGCAGCGAAGTGTGGGGTGTTTATTTTGAAATGAAAACTTTTTCAAAATGCATGCAAAGGCAACGTTTTAAATCATCTTTCTTTTGAAATAAAACTATTTTTAAATGCATGCAAATGCAACTCTTTTAACTGTCTTTTCGCAAAACGGAAATGCAATTATGAAAAAGTTGCATTTGTAATGAACACCCGAAAGACTTGCCTAGAGTGGCGCCAGGGCAAGCGCCTGCAGACGCGTAGACCCTAAACCCTAAACCCTAAACCCTAAACCCTAAACCCTAAACCCTCGCCCTATATCCCAAACACTAAGCCCCAGAGCCTGAAGAAAGCTACAGCCGCCAGAAAAGTTTACATGGAGCAATTTCTGCATGGATCCTAAACTCTAAACCCCAAACCCTAAACCCTAAACCCTCGGCCTAAATATAAATGAACTTCTAGGCATCATATTTATGCATTTATACTACTCGCCTCCGTGCGCACAAACGCAAAACCCTAAACCCTAAACCCTTGAAGCAAGCTAGGCCCTTAGAAACCCTTAATCCTAAACCCTAGGCTCTTTTAAAAACAAAAATGTCACAAGTCCTAAACCCCTCTAGAAAAGCACGCAGAACCCTAAACCCTAAGCCCTCGCTAAACTTTGCGCGCTGGACCCAAACCCTAAACCCTCGACCCCAAACCCTTTACTGACCCCAAACCCTAAACCCTAAACCCTTGCGATGTTAATGGCCAGCTGCGCGGAGCAGCCGCCCTACGCCCTGAACCCAACCCCTAACCCCTAAACCCTAAACCCCAAGCCCCAAGCCCCAAACCCTAAACCCCAAGCCTAGGCCCCAAACCCCAAACCCTAAACCCTAAACCCTTACGAAGTTGGTGGCCACCTGGGCGGAGCAGCCGTTTTCCAAAAGCCGGCCTTTCAAGTTAAAAGCTGTTGGCAAAATTTGATCTCCATAAAGAGACTTTAAGGCCTGCAGCAGCAGCTCGCGTTCCCAGGGGGGCCAGCAGCAGCAGCTCTCAGCTGTACAGACACCCCACGCCGCAGCAAACGCAGCGTGCCCAGCAGCAGCAGCAGCAGCAGCAGCGGCAGCAGCGGCGGCAACGGCGGTGCCGCACGCAGCAGCAGCAGCAACGACAGCAACAGCTGCGCAGACGGCAAAACGACTCCAGCAGCTGCAGCAGCAAGAGCAGCAACAGCAGCAGCGAGAAAGACAGCAGCAGCAACAGCGAAAAACAGCAGCAGCAGCAGCAGCAACAGGTGCAACAGCCGGGGGCGCTTCAGATGCTCACTGGGGGGCGCCGACTGCCAAGGCCGGTCTCTAG